TAGATCCCGACTCCCAGGTTCCAGAATATACGCCCACGCTGTATCTTCAGAGGTACGCGCAGGATATCTACACCCTTGCCAAGCTAAAGGCATTGGTCCTGGCGCGGTGCGCTCCGTTCCTGCGTCGCGATACTATTCGTGGTCTGGCGGGCGTGGATCACACCCGTGCCGAGGAAGTCGACGATGCCTTCTGGCGACTCTGGACCTTCTGTCGGATCTTCGGCTGTGGTAAGGGGCGCGAGAATGATATTGCTGGCCAAATGGACTGGTTGAAGGGTGGTGTCCAGGCGAAAAGTCATTTCACCTCAGCTTCAACGATGACACAACCTTTCGGTATGAATAATGTTCTGTTTGAACCACCCGAGGGATTCGGTCGTGGAAATCTTTCCGGTCTATCACAGAAGCAGATGTACGATCTGACTGAGATCTGGACGTGCATGGGTGTTCTGTTGCAGCCGTTGCATAGAAAGTGCATTGAAGCTCGCAAGGTCGGCATTTTTGATAGCTTGGATGTCCCAGATGGTGAACTGGCCCTCGAAGAGACCGTTCTCGGTAAGTGAAATTACACATCCTGTCTATTTGATCACGGCTAATTTAGAGATACAGAGGAATGGACTTCGTACATTCTCACACTTGGTCTAGGCGCAGTCTTAACCCTCAGCGCCGTCTGCCCGGCCGACACCACCGCCGCCACATTCACCAAAGCGAAGTCAATCGGCCTCACCAAATGGGAAGCAACCGAAACCGAAGCAAGTCGATCGTCATTCCTGAAAGAAGCAGTCTCGCGTGCCTACGAGGTCCAAGAACGCGCACTTGACAGCCCGACCGAAATCAGTCCGCAAAAAACAAGCCCTAACGAGAATGACCGCGACATCCGTGAGCGTCAAGCTGGATTCGCCTACGAGCTTCGCCGCCGCCGTGAACTCGGTTTCGAGCCCGACCCCAACGGCCGGTTTTCCTTCTCTGCTGAACGCCCTATGTCGGAGTTCAGCACTATTGTCCATAATCTCAACGGGTCCATTCGAGATCACCGACCCATTCCCTCTATGCCCGCCCTCGTTCTTGACAGGTCCTCAACTTCAACTTCTGGGACGGCTCCCCATACTCCGACTCATCCGTCCGACTCTACCAATGTCTTTTCTCCGCCGCATACTCCGCCACCGGCTCTCGTTCCTCTGCCTCTGCGGCCGCAGGTTCTAGATCCTGTTGACCGCGCCATTGATATGATAGTTAATGAGCTTGGCTTTAATCCGCAAGACGCTAAGTGGGCTCTTAAGATTACGGATACTGGCGAAGGGATTGATGCTCCTGCTGCTGTGCAGTTACTTCAGCGTCAGCGGAGAAAGAATCAGCAGAATCCCTTTGGCCAAGGCGATACCCTGCTGTCGGATGTTATTAAGCGTCAAAAGTCACAAGAGTCAGGCTGGCGCTGGGCTTGATAGTGTTTTAATTACTTTGTTTTTTGTTATTTTTTGGCCTGCATCCCGTTTCCTTGCGTCATCTATCCTTGATTTACTGACACGATCATTATGTGCTATATACCCTTGCTATTTATATTTGAATTTCGAGTTTTCATTGGATTTGGAATCATCCTCATAGCTCACTTTTCGCTTCAACACTCCATTACATGTCTCTCTATCGAGTCTCGAATTGTACTTGTTGTCTGTTTTAGTCCTAATCTGTTAATGTCTGTAGCATATTCAGCGAATAAATTGCAATATTTTTCTATACAAGGAGATATCTTTCCCAACAGCCAACTTAGTTAGTACTATTCGTAAAGGTAGGTTTACAGTCGCTGGAAATCCCAGTAGTTGAATGGTATTCTTTCAGGGTCACCCTGCCAACTCTACTCTTCACAAATCTATCAGGCTCAAGGTTGAATCGAATACCCGATTTTGTCTCAGCAAAGAATGCAACAGCAATAATCTATCTTAAAGAAACGGGGCTAATGTATATTCAAATGCAAAAAAAAAGGCTGGAACGGAAGCATAAACTCGTTACATCGTCATGTCGGCACATTTTATAGATCCGTGTATTTTAATCAAACACCACTCGGCTCGTCGTCATCCGACTTGTCTCCATCATCACTGTCCTCGCCCCAGCCCTCTGCTTCAAGTGAACGGCCACGGATGCCGAAGCTCATGATGAAGCCAATGAAGGAGACCGCACCAAAAACTCCGAATGCCAGGGCCTCTCCTTTAGGCTGAATCTTGGCTGTGAGGGAGAACAGGCCTCCAGAGAGGAATGGGCCCACTGCGCGTCCAGCTGCAGAAAGAGTCTGTGCAAGACCATTCAAAGCGCCGAGGACGGCATTATTTGGGGCCGAATTTGTAATCTGGAGAAATTATTAGTTTCGGTGAATTTTACAGAAAGAGTAAATCGGAAATTCTTACCAGAAGCAGAGCACTGGTCAGACCGCCCACGGAGGCGATGGTCTTGACCAGCAACACGAGGCAAAGTTCGATAGCCATGATAGCCGACTTGCCAGTCACACCTTTGCTAGTCTTACTCTTGTACCCAATGAAGGGCATTAGGATAAACGAGATAACAAAGCCAAATAGGCCTGCGCGGTACGACCATCGATTGCCCATCTTGTCTCGCAGACGGTTGAAGATACAAATTTGGAAAATGATCGTCACGAAGCCAGCAAATCCTTGAGCAAGGCCGATCTCGGACGGGGTGAGTGACCGTCCGGCAGGGGGCTTAGCTTGCGCGAAGATTGGGAACAGCGAGTTGAAAGAGACATTGCAGAAAGCAAAGATCAGGTATGTCAAAAGAAGTAAGAGGGTATCTCGAGTGAAGATCTCATCCCAAGAGAGTTCCTCGTGGTGGCCAAGGATGCTTGACACCTCAGACGCAGAGTCTAGGTCACTGTCATGATCCTCGGTCTCTATATCAAGGCCGCTGTGGGGATATGGCACTGCTTGCGGGACCTCCACATAGGTCGGATGGCGAGAATTGCCGGTGAATTGCCACAGCCATGTGAACAGACTGCGCACCTTTTTGCCGATCTTTGGTAGACTATCTGCGTCTTCGAGACTCTCTTCCAGGAAAATAGCTGTCAAAACAAAATCGACCAGAAGGACAACAGCAGACAGTACGTTTGGCGCAAGATACGGATATGGGTTTTTGTTGCCAGTAAAAGGGTTCGTCTCAAAAATGAGGAGGCCTCCTAGGAGGGGTCCCGTTATACCTCCAATTCCGTACAGTACCGGGAGGTAGGTAAAAGCCTGCGACTGGTTGCTTCGGTCGGTGATTTCTCCGAGGCAGGTGGACACCAAACCCTGGTTGCCATTTACCACACCCATCAACGCCTGCACAATTATAGCTTGCACAAGGGTCCTGCAAAATCCGAATGCAACAAAACACAGCGCAGTCAGAAACGTTCCAAGCAGGATCACCGGCTTGCGACCAACACGATCCGATAGCCAGCCCCAGAAATAATTTGTACTGAATTGAGCCAGCGCAAAGGCCGATGCAATGCTGCCCACGTATACACCCACCTGGGCCGGTTCCACTTCGGGAAATGTCGATGCCATGTGCGGGAGGTATGGACTGATCGAGTTCAATGCCGTTTGCTCCGCCAGTGCAATTATCGCTAGCACTGCCATTTGCCTCTTCGGCAACGGCGACGACGCTCCGGGGGGATCAGCGGTGTCATTGTGGGGATCGTGTGAGCCGTCTGCGGAGGACTCGGACTGGCCCGAGTTAGGTCGCCCACGCGACTTGGGCGGTGGGGTATCGAATGTCTGGTAATGCTGCGTGGAGGAGCGGCGATTGAGCGAAGCCCGGTCTGGACCCGTCATTCTGGCGACACACCAGCAAAATCAAGACTGAATGAAGTCCTTCTCGCGATTAACCATGCAATTGGGGTCGTGCGGAAAGCCTGGTTGTAGACGCAATGCTGTCGTGGGAGAGTTTGTTGTTGGTATGGTTGACGTGCACTGGTAGAATATTGCCCAGTCAATAGAACGAAGGTGTATATGCAAGTATAATTAGATGCTCGGGGGAAAAAATGTTTCGAGAAGCTTAGGGTGGTTGAAGTTGACTGCAAGACCGCAACCCGGATCAGGGAACACAATGATGATGTAAGCTTGCAGATGCTGAGTCAGTTTGTTCTAGCCCCGAGGCCAGTCGTGGAGCCCTGGAACACCTGGCAGTATAAATTATTTTGGATATCTCCATGGCACTTGTTTTGCTTATTCCTTATTGGTTTGAAGATTTATAGCCCTTGCATGTGTCGATCTTGCGTTACAATATGTTGGGTGCCGAGGCTCAAGTCATTCTGGCTAGGTAGAGTATATAGTTGAGTAGCTCGATTTCCTCCTTGTATCTGCGACTAACTAATATCATAGGGATATTTGGGAATATCAAATGACAAAAACCGCGCTATAATTCAAGATAATAAATAATACGGTCAACAACTTGTCCATCTACAGCTTATGTGGGCCGGCAGTATGCAGGCATCATGCTGATGTGATTTGTAGGATTGGTCGTAAATGATCAAAATATATAGCCAATGGTATGTACCGCGTAGGTGCATAACCTTTATGGCGTCCATCTATAATCATTGGCCCTTAATAGTCTCACTCAAGGGATGTATGTATATACAGCAGTCGATAAATATCTACCAGATAATATCCAAATCTTGGCTTTCCGTTTTTAATGCTCACCCCTTGCCGCTTTTTGCTCAGTAAAACTGAGCACGCCCAGTCTACTGAGAATCCCTATCACCTGACTGCACTAAGGTTCAAGCGTATCTTTGTCCAACCCTGGGTTAAGCACGCTAGTACATGTCGCTACATGCAACTTTGTGCATGTTTTAATGTTAGGTATGCCTGATACGGGAATGTACATAATTACCAGTATACTAAAGACCGCCAAATAATGTCCATTAAGCTTTATACACTGCGAGGTCTATATTAACAATATAGACAGGAGCTCAGACAGCCAACTCGAGCGGAATCCTCCCTGTCGACTTTCACTGGACCCCTGTGATCTTACTGGGGCGCATCGATGGCATCGACACCGCGGTATTCGAAATACTTGCACCACTCTGGGTCCTCAATCAGGGCCTGCTTCAGGCTCGCCTCATAAGAGATCGAAAATTCAGGGCCCTCGTCCGACTCAGGGGACAGGTCACGCGATGGGTAGATTATGAGGACGCCCTGAGTCAAGCGGTCGATGAGATGCCGGTACGTCAAGGGCTTTGCAAAGCCAAAATCGGCGCCTGTGATATTGGCATCGCGATGATCTGTTTGGAGAAGCGACATGGGCGGGTGCGCGTCAATGCGGATGTTCAGCGCTGTCTTGTCACGCACTGTGGCTACTATATCTAACATTTGGTCTATGGCCTCCTGTGTAATACTGTCGGTCATCTGGCGGACGTAAGAGGCTATCCTTGATAGCGGCCACTCGGAAATGACCTCCGCTGCTGTAGGTGCAGTGACTGAAGCAGTAGATGAGAGAGCTCCAGTCATAACGTTGCGCTGGATCCGTGCCGGCACCTTGGGACTGTGCATTCGTCGCCGCATGTCAACAGCTTCTATCCACAATAAGGGAGCTGATAGATCTGGTTTAAAGACAGGGGCTCGAAGCCGAGAAATAGTGCGCCATATGAAGGCGGAGAACGCGTCATATGTGGAGATCCAAGATCCGTCCGTCGACGTTGGCATCGCGAGTTTCTTTAGTTCCGCTGCCTTGCTCTTAGGCAGGTGGAAGAGCAGCATTTCGGCCGCGATATGATCAGGGTGACGCTCAGGGGCAGGGGGACCATCGATCTGAGAATCTTCGGGCACAATGGGCTTTGTAAGACGTGATAGATCCAGGCATGCAGGGTCCCATTGGGGGAAGGGTGTATGGTTAACAGTTGCATAACAGTTTTCGGCTAGCTGGTGGACGAGCCCGGCCCAGCCCATAACATCGTTAGAGTAGTGATGATGATGCATAATGAAGACCAGTCCACCCCGAATGAAGTTAACCTTATAAGCTGCAACCACCGGGCTAACATCAGGGTGTGCCTCGGGCTTTTCGCCGTATGTCATCGGAGGGACACTCCAGCGTTTGAGATCACCTAGTTCCGAAGTGCAGAAATTGCCCTTGGCGATCTCGTCAAAGGATGGGTATTCGTCACTGTCTTCTGGTGAATCCAGCCATTGGACCACAAATTGTACAGTGCTATCTTTCTTCTTGACAAACGAGTGGCCACCGGAAGGGTCTTTCTCGATGGTACCGCAGATGTGCCGAACTTGGCTCAGGGTACGCTCAAGACCAGTCTTCAACACATCAGCGACTCGTGCCTTGTCTGCATCATCCACCCGAAAGAAGAGGGCATAGTTGTTGTAGGTACAAGCGGTCAAATAGTCGAGGGTTGACAGTTTGAAACGCTCCTCCTCAGGATCATTTTCCCAACCGAGAGGGTGAATATGGACAACGTCCTGCTTGGGCATAGTGGCGATTAACTAACAATGATAGGCATAGGAAGACGTAAAAGGAGAGCTAGAAATTCGTGCGCATGCAACTCCAAGCTTTATAGGGACTTGCCGTCAAGCGCCGGCAAGTAACCCCACTCTTACATCCAGGAATAAAGATCAACAATATAATGAGCAGACACGGAACAAATACCTGAGAATGCAGGGATTGTGAGACATGGGGCTTGCAAGGCTTGGAACAATTTCTTTCTTTTAGCTCCAAAACTTCCCGTTGTCATATTCCGCTTGATCCACACGAAGCAGGCAATCTCCCAATGACAGGATTCAAGCCACTTGGTTGCAGGGTATATATCTTGGCACTAATCTTGTTAGTTAGTGCATCCCGCCACCTGTCGTTGTGAATCTTGTCCAGTCCTCCGAGGCAGGTACATCTATAGGGGAAACCACATGTTTGGCCAAGACACTCTCGGGTTTACTTTGTTTTCTGTTGCTGAAACCATATTCCATGGACTAGGAGAGAATATGAAAATGAAAATCACAGGGGAAGACTGAACTAGTTGGTACTCACATGTTTATTTTCCCGGGTGATTCTGGCCCCCGTACAATTAAATGATTGGACCCGACGCCACCCTATACTGTAATTGTATCTAGTGAGTCCACTCTCATCCTCGGTAGCCTATTTGTATCTTTGTCCTTTTTATTCTTTCTCATTACGAGTATTATTTACAATAATAGGCATCCCTGTCTGAAACCGGTATAATGACTACAACAGGAATCGAATCCCTGCAAGAAGACGTTTGCCCACGGGTTACCAGTGTCCAAGCTCTCTCCCAAAAGATACAAACCCGTTGTTGTCCCGAAACTCCTGAAGATCACAATTGGGATTCCAGCCAGACAAAGGCAGGGGCCCGTGTGGCACCCGTTACTTCATTTATAAAACCTCAACGGCCTTTCAAGCCCAGGTGGACATCGCACTGACTCCAAAAGGCACTCACCATTTGCAATGGATCTCAACGGCCCTGCCCTCGCGCCGCCAGAGGGCGTTGTTCCAAACCTGGACAACCCACCAAACAACAATGCACTCGCCATCGGGGTGCTATCGACATGTGCTGCTATTGCTACTATATGCCTTTTTATACGCGGTTACGCCCGCATATGGTTGTTGAAAAAGGTTCAAATTGAAGAAGGTATGCCTCTATGATCTCATGCTGTTGATACATCACTAACTACGAGTCATTTCATAGCCTTAACCCTTTGCGCATATGTTAGTTGGTCATCGAAAAGTTAACTCATTATCCGAAGCTAATACCTACCTAGGGATGCTTCTGGGGAGCCCTTTATGCCGAGATAGGTCTAATTGATACACCAGGCTATTTCGTTCATCAGTGGAATGTTCGATTGAAGGATATGATCCTCGCCCAATATGTGAGTCCGATATATAGGCCCCTAGGCAGTTCTTTAACTAACTGATTGAAGTACGTCTTTCTCTTCGGCGTGTTTTATTCGATTGTTCTACCATTGCTGAAAGTGACTATCCTGATAGGATGTTGCCGGATGTTTGCTCCCAGAGGCCGCCGATCCGAGGGATATTTTTGGTGGGGGTGTGTGGTGGTTATCGGTGTTCAGATTGGCGCTGGAATTGCCATCGTGGTCTCTCTGAATATGCAGTGCATTCCCCACAGCGCGATCTGGGATATCACCATCCTGGCAACTAGCAAATGCTTTGACTTGTACAAGTTGCAAGTGGCATCTGCTAGTATTCAGTTGATCTCTGACGTGGCCATTTTGCTCTTGCCACAACAGGTTATTTGGAGTCTCAAGATGACTTGGCGAAAGCGGATGGGTGTCTCCTTTATCTTCGGCCTCGGCTTGCTGTAAGTGCTGATATGCAGCGACGGATTAGATTCTTACGCTAATACTGAGAAACACATAGGGCATGTATTTCCGCAGTCTTCCGACTCGAAACCACAATCATGCATGGCAAGTCGGCAGATGCTGTTTGGACGTTGCCTCCACTGGCCTTCTGGGCAACCGCCGAAATGACATGTGGCTTTTTTATCGTTTCCCTACCGTGCATTCCGAAGATCATGATGGAAACAGGAGCTGGGACTAAGATAAAGAGTATCTTCGGCATGTCCTCTTTAGGGAACTCATCTAAGCGGAATTGGGAGAGTGAAGGAACCGGCCAGTCAAGCAATCAAAGCAAATTGGCGAGAAGTACAACCGACAATACCTACTACAAGCTGGATACCCTGAAGTCATCTGAATCCACGGAGTACCTTCAAAAGGGTACATTGACTCAGGACGAAGACCGCAGGGATGTTTATCCGTGAAGGAGAAAAATGCGCATTACTGGAAAGTGGTATAATTGGGTTTATTTCCATTTTATTTCTTTGTTTTGTTGCTAGGCCACTGGTTGGCTAATTGGAAACTCCAAAATCCTATTACCTTTGATGATGAAGGAATGTAGGCGGACTTGTACTTACCCGTCTATCCGTACTATTGCTTTACAGGATCCCCTAGCCATATAGAGCTAGGTAGATGGAGTCCCGGAGAAGGGGTCCTAGCGGCGACAATTCAACCAAGCCCCCTTATAATTTCTTGTTCAACTGTTACAGAAATCGCAAATCTCAAATTGAAGGATGAGATTCCTTTGCTTCCATAGCAGGGGAACTTGCTCCAAGGTTCGGGTCCCCAATTGATTCCTTTCTGACCATATTATGTAACGGTGACTGACCACCTGGGTAATGCCACTAGATTTTTAAAATGCAGACCGGTACGTGGCTTTCCAGAATTTTGGTATTCCTAGCCTGACCCCTAGGTCAAATTTAGCAAAGATCTGCGAAGTACTGGACGACCACGAGTTTGTGTTTATCGATGGGTCGGTTCCAACAGAGCCAAGTGAAGGTAAGTTCTTCCTAGCGGTGAGATACCAGCGTAGATACCAGTTTGTATCTAAGAAACAGGCGCCACTGTCGTCACAGATGAGTTCTACGGCTATATGCCAGATGTCATTTCCGAAGCTAGTCAATGTCGAAATCTACTGGCGGGATTGGTAGATTATGTCCACAGCAATGGGCCCTTCGACGGAGTGATGGGATTCTCGGAGGGAGGCATTATGGCGTCTATGCTGCTTATTGAAGATGCCCGCCATCCCTTTGCGGGATTCAAATGCGGCATATTTTTTAGCGCAGCCTTGCCCTTGGATCCAGATGTGGTCCGCACGGAAGTTCTACGTTGCATCGACCCGGAAATTGATGGAGTCGTGCTCCATATCCCCACGGCCCTAATAGTTGAGGAAAACCTTGTTCGTTTGCGGGGCCGGTCGCCCCTGGCAGCATTGTGGTCCCAGGAGGATTCTCAGGAGGCGCTAGTTCGGATTTGCGACGAGAGGTTCCGCGAGGTGGTCCGACATGATCTAGGGCACCAAGTCCCCGGGTCCAAATCAATGGAGGGGTTTTTGGAGACTTTGCAAGCTATTGAAAGGACCATTGAGAGGGCTGGTGATCTTTCTAGCTAGCACCTATATCGATAGTGCAACATCCCGTGTTTGCGGGCTATTCCGTTTCTCCATGCGTAATAGGAAAGTCATATGTATTACCGCTTACCGACTACAGCCAAATTTCGCAGTTCTAAAGTTTAAATTGAACTCACATGGAACGGTGCCTCACTAAGAAAATCCTTCTGCACTTCGAGGCTTTCTGAAACGCCGGCCGAATTCTCCGCTTGGCGTTGAAACCTTAGGCCACTAACGCCATCTGGTGCTCTGGAAGTAGAGAACAGATTTGATTTTGTTATGAAGTACTCCGTCAGGTAACTAGATCTTAGACAGATTTAGGAAGATACTAATAACACATATAAGACGTCTATGATTTTAAGAAATGTGGATTCAATGGCGGCCCGGCCTGGCTGCGGCCCGCAAAAAAGTAGAGGCCCGTGCGCCCGTACCCGAACATAGTACTTACTCCAGAGGGTCTCATTAGAGTGGGAATTACAGCCTCAATGGTGGAGAGGGCCATGGCGTTGAGTATTTGAGTACTTGTTTGCACAGAAAGGCTATGTTGGTGAAACCGTGTCGTCTTTTGTTCAGAAGTACTCCGTACTTTTTCAAACAAATTAACCTGCATCATACAGTATCGATTGACGAAGACGGAAACGATGAGCACCCCAGGTTCTATCTCAGCGCGAGATGACATTGCAATTGTTGGATACTCTTTCAGGCTCCCACAAGATGTGAACGACGACCAGTCGTTCTGGGAGGTTCTAGAGAACCGCCGGAATCTTAGAACAGATTGGCCGGCAACCCGCGCCAATCCAGCTTCATTTTTGAACAATAAATTGATAAAAGTGTGTTTAGAATCTGTTTATCAACGAGTTGTGGTGCCTGACTTTGCTGTAGTTCCCTGCAAAAGGTGGTCATTTCCTCAATGAGGACCTTGGCGCTTTTGATGCGCCCTTTTTCTCGGTCACGGCGCAGGAGGTAAGTACCGCTCAAACGATGAACAGAACATTGTACTAAGTATACTATGAGGCGGCGGCGATGGATCCCATGCAGCGATGGACCTTGGAGGAGTCATATCGGGCTTTTGAGAAAGGTGAGTAGCAAACTCGAAGCATCTAGAGCATAGTAGAACTGACCGTCATCGTAGCTGGGATACCTGTTGAGAAGCTGAGGGGCTCTCGTACTGCAGTTTTCTCGGCTTCAATGCTGGAAGATAATGCCCGTCTGGTGGCCATGGACCCAGAGAATACAGAGCGGACAGCTGCCACAGGAAGTTCCGTTGCATGTGTCGTTCCCAACCGAGTGAGCTGGTACTTTGATCTGCGTGGACCTAGCATCCATGTCAATACAGCCTGCTCAGGTAGCTTATCGGCAGTTGACATGGCCTGTAAAGCATTGTGGAGCGGTGATGCCTCTTGTGTGAGTTTGAATCCACAGCCAAAAAAAATATGTTTTCTTTGCTCACCATGAAAAGGCTCTTGTCACTGGATGCAATCTGCTCTTAGATCCTTCGATTTTCCAAATATTAGCTAACCAAAACTTCCTCTCTCCTGATAGCCTTTGCTATAGCTTTGATGAGCGTGCCAATGGATACGCCAGAGGAGAGGGGACATTGGCTCTTGTCCTTAAGCCCGTATCTGCGGCAATTGAAGATGGTGACATGATCCGGGCCGTTATCCGCTCAACAGGCTCAAATCAAGATGGCCACACTCCTGTGCTTACGCAGCCCAGCCCTCAATCACAAGAAGAATTAATTCGTCATGTCTACAAGCAGGCCGGTTTATCATTCCATGAGACGCGATATGTCGAAGCCCATGGTAAGTTTAGATATATCACATCCGCTTCTCAGAGTCTAAGAGATTTTCTATAGGGACGGGAACACCCGTGGGTGATCCGATTGAGATGAGAGCTATTGGCAGGGTTTTCCGAAAAAGTCGAACTGCCGATGAGCCTCTTTACGTGTATGTTTTATAGTAAATCTAAAAGCCACACGCTAATAACTTTTCAGTGGATCTGTGAAGGCAAATATCGGACATCTCGAAGGGGCCAGCGCACTTGCAAGCTTGGTCAAATCTATCTGTATGAGCCATTTTTGCGTGCCTCGAAGTCATGGTATAACTATTAACAATTATAGTGATTCTGGAAAAGGGCATTATTCCACCCAATGCTCTTTTTGAAAAGATCAATCCTGCCATTGATGTGGATTTTTTTAAAATCAAGGTACAGACAGACCCAGTTGTCGTTGTCTGGAATTTCGCTAATTTTATTCTACGATTTAGGTCCCAGTACAAAGTGTTCCGTGGCCAAGTGAAGGCCTACGTCGAATCTCTGTCAACTCCTTTGGGTTCGGAGGCTCTAACACCCATGTTGTTCTCGATGATGCTCTTCATTACATGCAGCAGCGAGGCCTAGCTGGTAACCACTGCACGGCTCTGCTCCCCGGTACTCTGACAAGGGTTGTTAGCATCTCCAATACGAGGACCCAATCCGGTTATGAAGATGGGAACCACGACGATCATAGAGTTATCGATGGGACATCTTTTGTCAAAGGAACTACGTACACTAATGGGTCGACGCATTTGAATGGAGACGGGGCAATCTCACTCATGAACGGCCATGACAAGAGCCTGAGCGTTGCCGCACGTCAGCCCAAGCTGCTTGTCTGGTCCGCCGCCGATCAGAAAGCGGTAGAGAGAATGCTTGAGAGCTACGAGGTCTCTAGCACAGATCTAGGCCTCGATGACCCGTCCAAGCTTGATCATCTAGTATTTACCCTTGCTTCACGGCGAAGTCGGATGTTATGGAGAGCTTTCTCGGTCTTCCCAGATTCAAATGTCGGCCAAGGAGGAAAGGCTCTTTCGCCAGTTAAACCGGTTCGAAGTTCGACCGACACCGGGCTCGCTTTTGTGTTCACTGGACAAGGTGCCCAGTATGTGGGCATGGGATGGGATCTGCTTGCCTATCCAATATTTGCCCAGACTCTAAGACAAATTGATGAGGTATATCACAGCCTGGGATCCAGATGGTCACTTTTTGGTAAGTGGGGCAGCGTTCGGTTTGACCAGTATACGAATGATAACTTACAACATGATTAGATGAGCTCCGCCATGGAAAGAACATCGATAAACCCGAATATAGTCAGCCTATCTGTACTGCTATTCAAATTGCTCTTGTAGAGCTACTTGAGAGCTTTGGTATTGTGCCAAAGGCGGTTGTGGGTCACTCGTCCGGCGAGATTGCTGCTGCGTATGTATCATCAAGGATAAACCACGGTCTTTTCAGTTGAATTGCTGACCAGATGATAAACTTACCAGATATACAATTGGGGCTCTTTCTCTACTTTCAGCGTGCAAGGTCGCCTTTTTCCGAGGAAAGCTGACTAGCAGCGGTGCCGTTTCCCCGGGGGCTATGCTATCGATAAACGTGGCTAAACCTGAAGTGCCACAATATCTCATGCGTGTTGGGGAAGGAGTAACAAGCCAATTGTCCGTGGCTTGTATCAATAGCCCCTTCAATTGCACCCTTTCAGGTCCAGAAGAGGACATCGACGCGGTGAAAGCCCAAGCAGATCAGGATGGCATATTTGCACAGAAACTTAAGACAGGCGTCGCGTACCACTCAGCCGCAATGAACGCAATTGCAGATGAGTATTTGACGTTGATTGGGACGATCGAGGGCGCAGATCGACAAACGAGTAAAGTAACGGCCCGGATCCAAATGGTTTCGTCAGTGTCGGGAAAGGCCATTCGCCAGGACGATTTGGCCGATGCTCAATACTGGGCGAACAATCTTATTTCTCCAGTTCAATTTGCCGACGCCATCCAGCTACTTACGCAGTGGTCGTCGACTCTGAAAATTGGCATGGGAAGCGTAACAGATCTTATTGAAATCGGCCCTCATGCAGCGCTCAAGAGGCCTATCAATGACACAATCCAGCAGGTCGCCAATCGGAAAAGGGAGATTCGATATCTCCATGTCCTCCATAGGTCTCATCCTGCGGTCCAGACCACTCTCGAGCTTGCTGGTCAACTATTTTGCCTTGGTCACAAAATCTCCTTGCCCGCAGTAAACAGACAATTAGCCAACACGCGCCCACCGTTCCTTGTGAATTGTCCCACATACCCCTTTGATAGATCACGTCTGTACTGGACCGAGTCACGCATCAGTCGAGATTTCAGATTGAGAGGTGTTGTCTCCGGAGACACACTAGGGGTCCGAGTATCCGATTGGAATCCCTTGGAGCCCAGGTGGAGAAATTTCTTGAGCACCGAGTCTACCCCATGGATCAGAGACCACAAGGTAGGCCCCTCGTGACAATCCATAAATCCTGGCAAATAGAGGTGCTAATTCGACTCAGATGACAGACACTGTGCTCTACCCGGCCGCGGGTATGTTGATCATGGCCATTGAGGCGGTTCAACAAATGGTGCCTATTGACCGAAAAGTACGAGGATACCTCGTGAAACTGGCTGAGTTTATGAGCCCTATCATTGTACCACAGACTTGGGAAGAGCGCACTGAGACCCAAGTCCGTTTGCGACTGGTAAAGGGCTCACAAAATGACAACACTTCCTTGTTTGATGTAGCAGTCTTTTCTTATTCACGGGGCACGTGGACGGAGTGCTGTAATGCAAATATCATGGCCGAATATAGCGAGGATTCGCTTGGCACTACCGTCGATGAAGGTCTTCAGGCCATGCATAAATCTGCAGTTTTATCTTGCAGTCGTCCGCTCGACTCAAAGGCCCTGTACAAAGATGCGGCTGAGTACGGGCTTCAGTATGGAGGAATGTTTCAACTGCTACAGGATGTTTGCTGGGATGGCAAAAATACCGCTTTGGCACGCGTTGATGTGACCAAGAAAAGATTTGAGACAGGAAGCCTAGTGCATCCAGCAATCTTGGACCAGGCATTCCAGGTCCTGCGAGTGGCTTCCGGGCAGCAAGAAGCTGCCAATGTTCCTGTTCGCCTTGTGGACGCATGGTTCGCACCCTCTGGCTGGCAATTTCCACAAAATAGCTCCATTCAATGGTTTGCGACGTCACACACCACTGCCCGTGGCGATCATGTCACCGTTGATGGAGAACAGGGCAGTATATATGCCCTCGCCGAGAACGGAGCAACTTTATGTCGGATTCAACAGGCTAATATGGCAACTGTATCAAAGAATTCTGAAGAAAAAGGTAAGAAGTTGCTATACAGTATCGACTGGAAGCCACACCTGAGCCTACTTGACTCCAAACAACTATCTCACCTGTACCCTGCGGATACCAAGACTGACGAGACTGCAATGCTGGTCAATTATCGCAAGTTATGTTCACTATTGGATACTGTGGCAGCGCAGGCTGTGAGAGGCTTGGATCGCGCTCAGGTTCCGGAAAATCTACGTCGTCATCTTGAATGGCTTGACTTCCACGTTAAAAGGTTGCCGCCATCCCAGCAAGAAGAGGCCTACCGGGTGAGTAACATGGAGATCGAGGCCCGCGTGGATGATATCGAAAGAGTTCTTCCAACCTGGAAGCTATACACCGTATGCGCCCAAAAGCTACCAGAGATACTCAGCGGAAAGATAGACCCTCTTGAAGTAATCTTCAAATATGATCTGGCGGATACCTTCTATGCTGGACTTTTTGAGAACATATGTGCCGATGGGCGACTTGCCGGTATTTTGGGGTTGATTGCACATGAAAACCCAGCAATGCGAGTTCTCGAGATTGGTGCTGGTACAGGAGGTATGACTGCCCAAGTCCTCGCAGCCTTGGAAGAGCGTGAGAATCGAATCGGAGCTCCCAGCTTCGCTGAATATAGCTACACGGATATCTCGCCCATGTTTCTGGAACGCGCAAAATCCCGCTGGCCTCGCTTCCAGGCTGAGGGTCGATTGAATTTCCAAACACTGGATATTGTCCAGGGAATTGAGAATCAAGGCTTCCAACCAGCTTCCTATGACTTAATTATCGCCGCCAGTGTCCTTCACGCGACACCAAACCTCGAAGCTACAATCCAGCATGTCCGCAAGGCGTTGAAGCCTGGCGGTCGCCTTATATTGCTTGAAGCAATCAAGCCAGAGGATGTCGCCACCAATTTCATGGCTGGTTTGGTACCTGGTTGGTGGGTCTCTCGCGACAAATGGCGGCCTCACTCGCCCGCTGTATCTGAAGCCGTATGGGACCGCTGTCTAAGCGAAAATGGCTTCTCTGGGAATGACATGATCATTCGGGACTACAATAGTGAGGACTGTCATGTGGTGAGTATCATTCTCAGCACCGCTGTTGAAGAACCACAATATCCTATCGTGCCCAGGGTGGATGCCAGCAACCTTGTACTGGTGGTCGATAAGAATCCGTCCGAGAAGCAACTACTGCTGGCCAAATCAGTACGGGACTCTTTGGATCCTCAAGAGGAGTTCGAACCCCGAATTTGCTCCTTCTCTGCAGAGGACCTCCCACAGTCCCTCGCAAATTCTGACGATGACATTGTTGTCTGTTTAGTCGAAGTTAGCCGGCCCTTGCTCGCTAATTTGTCTGAGGAGACCTTCAAAGCCCTGCGGCAGTTGATTCACAACACGCCCAGGCTCTTGTGGGTGACATCTTCAGGTGCCAGCACGGCTGATGGCCCCGAATATAGCGTAATTCAAGGCTTTTTGCGCTCTATTCGCGCCGAACAACCCTCTAGTCACCTCGTCAGTCTCAATATTGAAGGCGAGGCCGATGGTATTGCTTGTGCAAGTGCTATCGTCAAGGTTGTTGAAACCTCTTTCGGCTCTCCATCGTCCCAGGAGCTGGAGTATGTCTTCAAGGACGGAATTTTCATGACCGCCCGAGTCATCGAAGATGTCGCGGGTAACGAAAGAATACATCCGCTTCTTTTGCCGCAGCTCACACATGAGCCCTGGGCCAAAACAGGGGCCTTGAGGCTTTCATTGAACACCGAGATACCTCAAAAGTCTACAATCTTTGTTCAGGACACCGTTCACAAATCTCCTCTTGGCCCTCACGAGGTTGAGATCCACGCAGATACTTGGAGTTTCATGGAAGGGGACATTCGTAGCGCTATCGATCGAACAAAAGATGATCTCTTTGGAGGAAACTGCGGTGGCGTGGTCACTCGAGTTGGCAGTGAATGCAACAATTCCTTCCAGATAGGCGATCGTGTTTGTGTATCAGATCTCGATTGCATGCGCAAGTATCCTCGCTCCCACGAGACCAACTTCGTCAAAATTCCCGAGAAGCTCTCTATCGAAGCAGCCACGTCAGTTTTCCACCCGGCAATTCTTGCCTACCATTCTCTAATCGATATCGCACGACTTGGCGAGCGAGACACAATCCTTATCCATTGGGCTGCCAGCAGTGTGGGCCAGATTGCAGTTCAAATAGCGCAGAAGCAAAAGGCTCAGGTCTATGCGACCACATCATCATTGGAAGAAAAGCGTTTCCTCATAGAGACTCTAGGGATACCAGGTGGGGACATTTTTGATGGCCAGGATGCGACATTTGGAGCAGATGTTGTACGTGCTACTGAGGGAGAGGGTGTCGATGTCGTCCTGAATTCCTTGGTGGGAGAGGATTCGCTGCGAGGATATTCCCAGTGCCTGGCACTCGGTGGCAGATTCATCGAGATCAGCCATGCAGGTATCGAGGCCAAGCTCAATCTTCCACACGAGTTCTTCGCCAGAAATATCACTGCCTCAGTCGTTGACCCCACGCGACTCCGTCCGAAACCATTATCTCGTCTATTGAAGACTGTCATGACGCTGATCGAAAATGGCGAGATACAGATTTTACGACCGGTACCAGTGTATAAAGTGTCGCAGCTTGAACGGATCCACAAGAAGATTCAAGATAAAGAGCCAATGAGCCAGATCGTGGTCACCGCAAGTCCTGACGATATTGTCCCGGTAAGTAGTCTCTTGTGGAAACCTCCAGTATTATAGATCTTTCAGCTAACGGGTTTCCTCGTCCAGCAATTTGTTAAAGAGCAACCAACATGGGAGTTTGACAAGTCCGCATCTTACCTGGTTGCTGGAGGGTTTGGTGGCATTGGGCGGGCCATTTTGCAGTGGATGGCGGACAGGGGAGCCAAGCATCTGATTGTGCCATCGCGATCAGGAGCAATTTCCAAGGCTGCAGCTGAGGTAGTCGCCCAGCTGACTGCTCAAGAAGTAACTATTGTTGCTCCCCAATGTGATGTCTCGTCTGAAACAAGTCTATCGCACGTGCTAGCTGAATGTGCACGAACTATGCCACCCATCAGGGGTTGCATCAACGCAGCGATGGTTTTGCAAGACGGCATCTTCCAGGAAAATATGACATTCACCAAATGGGACTTGACAATTCGATCGAAAGTACAGACCTCATGGAACCTGCATCGCTTGCTACCTGAAAGTCTTGATTTCTTCATCCTCCTTTCGTCTCTTGCTGGTGTGGTTGGTCAAATGGCCAGCTCCAATTATGCTGGAGGTTGTGCGTTCCAGGATGCATTGGCACGGTATCGAGTTTCTCGGGGTCAATTAGCGGTTTCGATTGATATCGGCTGGATGCGCAATATTGGCATTATTGCAGAAACAGGCGCCTATCAGCGCCAGCGGCTGGCTGCAGATGACATGCGGCCAATCGATGGGGCCGAGCTCCTTGCATTGTTGACTATCTGCTGCCGCCCGGATGCTCCACAACGATCACCATCTGAAAGTCAGGTTCTGTTTGGTCTTCGGACTCCAGCTGATCATCTGGCTCAAGGCCGCGTTCCGCCTGCTCTGCTCGACCGGCCGTTGCTGGCAGCATTTTCATATATTGCAGGCTCTGATATTACCCCTGACCAGGATTCTCTGAAGCAGATAGTTACTAACCCCGCTACTCTGTTCCGGCAGTCATCGGACTCGACTGAACGTATTCGGATTGTTCACCGCGCGTTGGCCGACAAGCTGGCAGGTGCGATGTCTATCTCGTCCGATGATGTCGAGCCGAGCAAGCCCCTATCCACCTATGGTGTTGATTCCCTGATGGCGGTGGATCTGCGGAATTGGATTGGTAAAACATTTGGCGCCACCGTAGCCGTGTTTGACATCATGGGTGGGGTGTCTATTGCCAGTATTGCCGATTTGGTGGTTGCGAAGAGCACAGTCTAAGGCAATTGAAGGGGTGACCGACCCGTACAGAGTAGTATCCCAGTTTTTATAGGTTCATTTCAAAGAAATATGAAAGAATATAAATTATGAGAATATATATACTCTGCTGCAAACTTCACCCGAACTATATAGCCACATATATTACTGATAACCTACCCATAATGCAAACCGTCACGACTCGAGACTTAATTATCCTCGCTTTATCATATATTGCATATAAAGCCACAACATAGCCTGCTACCTACCGACGTTTAGGTTGGTCGTTTAACTTGGCCCCGTTTCACTCGTCATGACAATCATTCATACTATTCACCACTGTACTCCAATGCCTACACAGCAGTATTTGCATTTAACCATGTAGAGTCTAAGCATGAGAAACCTCTTCGAAAACAAAATAATGAGACTTGAATAAGAAAACACTGTATCAAGAATTGAGAATGAAGTATGAGAATATAAATCCATGCGACGCTTTCCTTTTTGGTTATATTATCAAACATGGCAGGTCTTTCCATCAACCATTCCAATGGCCGAGCAGTAACTTGGCTACATCTTCCTTGGTCTAGTGGTGATGATTTCCGCTTGTCATTAATACCGATAAGCGCGGGAGACCGGGGTTCGATTCCCCGAGGGAGAGATTTCTTTTTGCACTTGTGTGGCCCATCTGGGTACTCATTTTTATCAATTTTTTTGGCCTATCACTTTTTTTTTGACTTGTAATGCCCCGAAACTGTTCAAACTTATCGGATATACACATGGTTGGGGGAAAAGAACGGCCTCTGAATACGACATGAAAATCCTGATGTAAACATTTAAGTGGAGCCTTGCCCTAAAAACTCCGCCGCCCCATATATCCAAACTGGTCAAAATCTTTCACAGGCCGGCTGGCCCAATGGCAAGGCGCTTGACTACGAATCAAGAGATTGCAGGTTCGATCCCTGCGTCGGTCACTACTTTTTGCCTCCCATGCTTTCTTTTTGCTCTGTTGAGGTGGTCAAAATGGTGGTAAAGTGATGTAGGTGGGTGGCGATTGTACTTTTTGGGTTGCTGAATTATCAGCAAGAACAGAATTAGAATTATAGGTCATTTTAATCATGTTCAGGTATGTAAAATGCAGGCATAGGATTAAGAGTATCATCTAGAATAATGGTGCTGGATTGGCATGGAGGGATATATACCGGATCATGTCTGGCAAATCTTGGCCTTCACTTCCCTACTGCTCACCCCTTGTCGTTCAAGCCCACTGATACCTAAGCAACCCGAACCCATTCACAGCTGAATAGCCTGACCTAACTCACTGCGACCTGAGCAAAGCGGGAGATCAACTGACCATATAGTATCATGTCGCAATCCTTGCTGATCAGAACCACTCCTTTGGCCAGCGAAAAGGCCGCCAAAGTTACAGATTCCACCTTCGCTAATTGCTTGGCTGGCGGTTTTTCAATCTTTTTTGAGTCGTTGGTGCCATTAAGCTGATAGCACCACGTTTGTCCACACTCCATGGACATCAGCACCATTAGCAACCTCCTCGGAAGTGCAAGGTCGATGATACCATATATTGAACTTGCTCTGATCCAAAGGACTGAGATGCAGCATGTCAATACGAGCTGCGCGCGGAATCACATCATTAGGCGTCGAACCAGCAGACTCCTGTTTGATAACGTGTTCTAACGCAGCGGCGAGATGATCAGATGTCCAGAAACCTTCTCGTCGTGGGAAGTCACGCACTAGGCGTAATGTCTCCCGACGGGTATGCCAGTCGCGGCATTTAGTGGCATTGAAATGGAGGATTTGCAGAAGCATAGGTTTAGTGGAGAACATCGAAGATTGCTCTGCTAAGCTCAAGTAAAGCGCCGCCAACTCGTTCATTCGCTTGAATAAAAGCAAAAAGGAGTCATAAGACATCTCATCCAGGGGCCTCTGAAGAGAACCAAGTATGATATCACTGGCCATAGTCCATAGCTCGATCAATATTATCGGGCCACGGTCTTGTGGCGATAGCGTATCCCTATGTACCGAAATGAAAGCACGAAACTCGCTCTTCCAATTCATCAATCTCTCCATAAGCGTCTTTTCCACGCTATTCTGATAGAGTAGATCGGCAAGGGCGGTGTTCAACCTCTGTAGACTAGATCCTACGCGGAGTTCGAATCCCTGCGGGTAATTCGACGTGATAGCCGCCCCAAGGACAAACGAAAAGCCACTTTCAAACACTTCCGACTGCCCATATACAGGCCGGCATACGGTAATCGCCTGCCAGAGCGGTAAATCGTCCGCTTCTGATTCTTTATCATGTTGTGGCTGAGAGAATGTAATCCGGTGTAGCTGTAGATCTGAAATTGTGCGCATTAGGACCAGCCCCGAGGGATTTCCGTCGAAATTGACTTTCTGCCATTCCATAAGCACATTATAGCCGGACCGTAGGTGCGAGGTCATGGCCTTAACATCGCCCTGGAAGAGAGACAGCGACACTAACATGATACATGAAACAAGAACCACCTCTCTATGTGTGCTGCGTGTCGTATATGTATATCCCTTCGTTAGTCTCTGCCGCAGAGAAACAAGGACCTTGGTGCACTGCGCTAGAGTGAAAGATGTGCTTCTATCCACACTAGGCTTAGGCATAGAAAGGGCCTTTGATTTGAAAGAGTCGGCCTCTTGCATAAATTTCCAATGCATAGAACTCAAAGCAATAGCTGCATGCCGAACAGCAGGTTCCTCCTCGGCGACCTGGTGAACGAGTCGCTGCCAGAAGTCATCGACCATATACCCAGTGCATTTTCTAGAAGTATGCGTCTTGAATAAATCAAGGTACCACCGTTCGACGAATGAAAGACCCACTTGGCTTGGATCCAGTAAGCGTCGTGCAACGAAATTACTGGGGCCCGGCTGGGGGCCGCGGTGGCGGCCTGTATGTCTCGCACGGCGCGTTTACGTCGGTCCGGGATCTCCACGTATTCACACACTCGACCCGTATCGGTGCACCTCGAACACGAGGGGTGGGTTTCATCACACTTTTTGCGGCGAATTCTGGAGAGTCATGTATTAGTTGCGGATCTTGTTAGCGTATCAGCTTGCTTACTTGCACGTTTGGCAGCCTGAGCGAACCTTCGAATGGGTTGCCCTCGCTTTTCTAGTCGCTTCTGGAATCATCTCAAGTTCTCAGAAGGCTTGCCTTATAGGAACGCAGGTGGTCCATCTGGTTTTGCTAACCTTCAAATGTTGATACGAGTTGGTTCACCGCCTTAGCTTCGCCCATAACATATGCCAGTGAATTTGTAATCTCGTTACATAAGTTATGTACATTTGCCCTGCTAGTTTTGAGTATTTTGTTTAATTTATGTCGGTATGCAGATAGTTGACCGGGTAGCATAAGCCCGAGCCTGAGCGCCCCCATGAAAGCGGAGCCCCAGATAGGAAAGCCCCTAGAAGACATCATCCTGTCTATATAGCAGATAGGAAGAGTATACCATTGTGGATGAACTAGAAGATATCGCTATGCCAATATGAGACAGATATACCCGATAAATGCAAACCTAAGGGACTATAAGTCCGACAGCTATCTATGTCGGTGGTGATGGTGGAGATCCCTGGCCAATACTATGAAGAATTCATTTGTGCTGAATTGGTACTGGCAATGGTATGCGTGGCTAGATAAATGGGATTCCATATTTTATAAGGAATGAGACTATAGCAACCTGACTACAAAACAAAGTAGCAAGCAAAGGATTCATATGAAATGTACACAGCTAAAAAGATATTAAACTAGGATATCAAGTCGTCCCTACTTCATCAGCAGACTAACAGCCCAGGGAACACTGAGCCCTCGCAGATCTCCATAATGTTGTCCAACGCCAAGGAACACAATGGGAATTCCCGTGGCATGGACCATGCTGACCAGTGTTCCCACCATGTCACCGACGGTGTCACATTTACTGATAATGAAGCCATCCAAGTTCCTGCCAGCGCCAAATGCCTGGTTGAAGTTGCGGGCCTGCATGACACTGTCTGTGCCGACCAGAGCCTCACCAACCATGAAAATCTTGTCTGGGTTAGCAAACTTGGCGAACTTCTCAAGTGAGGACATCAGCCGCTGGTCGTTATGCCGACGGCCGGCAGTGTCGATCAGGACAACATCAAACTTATTGGCCGCTGCGTAGTCAACTGCATCCTTGGCAACGTTGGCCGCGTCCTTGCCGTAGCCCTTCTGGTAAATCTCCACGTCACCTGCATTCTCGCGGACACTCAGTTCCTTCAAACGGTCAGCGTGCACGCGGAGCTGCTCCACAGCACCGGAACGGAAAGTATCGCATGCTGCAATAAGAACACGGTACTTATTTTGGAGCAAGAAGTAGCAGATCTTGCTCAGGTTGGTCGACTTTCCAACACCGTTGACACCAACGATAGACATGACGTACGGGCGAGGCGCCTGCTGCTTGGTGGTGGGAGCGACCACAGCGTTGATCTCGCGCAGCAAATCCAAAGAAGAAGTCGGCGTCAGGATCTTCCTCAGCGAGGATTCCATGGCCACATGTAATGCGGCATCAGTGCTCTGGAAGTTGCCAGTCTTCTTGCCAATCATCTCACGCTTAACTCCCTCGCAGAGCCGGACAGCAGCTTCACGGGCGACGTTCTTCTTCAAGAGGTGTTCTTCCATCGCCTTGAGAGGCTTCTCGAGGTCAGATTCTGTCAGAACCTTGCCCCCAACAATGTTACGGAAGAAGCCACCAATTGCGTTGAAGCCGGAGCCAACGACACCCGACGAAGCAGTGCCCTTGGACTTTTCCGCGTCAGCTTGGTCCAAAATGGATTGAACTTCCTCGCCTAACTCCTTCAGCACGAATTGGCCCTTGCCAGTTCGGCGACCCCAATCCTCCTCGGAGACAGCTTCCACCGCTGGAGCGACAGACCCTCCTTCCTCGGCGGGGGCAGAATAATCGAGGATCTCTCCGTCATCCTCATCTGCCATCCCACTGGCATCCCATCTGCGCATCTTCTTCACAGGAGTCTTGGCGGGCTTTCCCTTTCGGGATTCATCGCCAGACGAGGCGTTGGCGCTCGAATTGGCAGCCTTGCGGGATCGTCGGGATCCACGACCTCCAGGTCCGGCTTTCGCTGTAAGAAGATGACCCTGGGGGGTCGAAGATCTAGAAATTTCTGGTGTAGCTGGTGGCGTACCCTCGTCAGAGGTCGCCCCGGCTAGCGCAGCTCTAGGCTGCGCTTTGGGATGGTCAGTATGCGCTTGAAACCGAGAGTGTTGCCATTCCATACCTTTCACCAGGCCAGGCACCGGTGGCGGCGGTGGGCCTCCATTGTCCGACGAAACAAGCGGGTCTTTCTTTTCACCCGTCTCTGGCACATGTTCCTCTACAAAGCCACCAGTGTTGTCTTCAAGCTCCCGAACTTGCTGTTCAAAGTATTGATCGAACCGATAGGTCTGGATTCTTGCGCGGTCTCCCTTCACCTGGTCTTTGTAGAGATCGATGAAGATTGTTGAAATGTTCTCAAGAAGTTTGTCGATCCAACCAAGGTGGAGTAGCGATTGGTAGACGGCCTGCACAAACTGAGAGTTAGTCGAAGCAGCGACGCGCATGCGCATGCGACAGACGTACCACGAAGATTAAATCGAATTCCTTCACTCTCTTCCATTTCAGTGTGTATTTCTCCTTCTTGTATGCCGGTGAGACTCCAGCTGTCGCATTTTGTGGCACGACCTTCTCCTCGATAAAGACATCGTTGATCAGGCTGTTGATAACATGTGCGCCCACTGGAGCGTATGCCTTAGACCAGAGCACCACGCCCGAGGTCGTCAAAATCTCAAAAGCCTCTAACATTCTGGTTATCGTCGGCAATCGTCAAATGTGAGAAGCAGATAATTAATGTGGGAGGGGGGGAAAAGGTCCGATGTGACTTGTTGGTGGCGGTACGGGGCGAAGTTGGGGGAGCTCGGAAGCGGATTGGATCTTCAGCCACGTATAAACACTTTCCTCCGTTATCAACCTCGCTTCTTCCCCAAACCCCCGTCAGACGACCAGGACGACACGTTCGCCACTAAGATTTCACGCTCCCTATCATTCTATCTTTCTTTTCCTATTTAGGTGCATTATGTATCGGGGCTCTTTCGCTCCGCCGCCCGCGCAATCGCCGCCCCTTCACCACCCCGTCCCGCAACATGTCTCGACCGTCCCTATGATGCGCTCACCTCCACCACCAGCTCCCCAGCAACCCCCAAGTGCTGGATATGGCGGTAACCCATACCAACCGTCGCCCGTTCAGGGTGGTAGTGGAAGCTATGCCCCTGGTGCTCCTGGATTCGGTGGATTCATGAATGAACCCACGGCGCAGATGGGCTTCCAGGTTGGGAAAAGCGCAATGGCGGCTGGGCAGGAATATATGGAAAGCAACGTATGCACCATTGACAGATCTCTATCTTCCACTTAAAGCTAACCTAGAGGACATTCTACAGTTCAACCGCTATGTTTCTATACCCGCTCTTAAGCATTACTTCAACGTCTCCAACTCTTACGTCCTGAAAAAGCTGGTCCTTGTCCTCTTCCCCTGGCGACACAAACCATGGTCTCGACAGCAAGCTCGAATGGCCCCAACCCCTGGACCAAGTGGTCAAATCATGCAGCAACAATACTCGTCCATGTTCCTGCCTCCTCGCGACGACCTGAACTCGCCAGACATGTATATTCCCGTCATGGCCCTGGTCACATATATTCTGCTGTCGGTGTTACTGGCTGGATTCCGCGGTGATTTCCACCCAGAGCTTCTGGGCTCGATCACCACCACGGCCATTGCAGTGATCGCCTTTGAGATTCTATGCTTGAAGCTAGCGACATACATTTTGAGCATTAACAATGACTCGCAGCTGCTAGATCTGGTGGCATACTCGGGCTACAAGTTTGTTGGAATCATTGTCACTATGGTAGCGTCTGAGATCTTCAACCCCGGACAAGGGACCAGGGGCTGGGTTGGCTGGACGATGTTTGCGTACACATTTTTGGCCAATGCGTTCTTCCTAGTAAGTGGCAGCTTTTTACCTAGCTTCCAGTGCGTTCCACAGTTGCTAATATTTAAATTCTTAGCTTCGCTCGCTGAAATATGTGTTGCTCCCCGATTCGACTGACTCCGCCATGCATGCCGGTTCGATGCAGGCCGTGGCTCGGTCCCAACGCAACCGACGCGGTCAGTTCTTGTTCGTATACTCCTACGCCGTTCAGTTCATTTTCATGTGGGTGCTCAGTCGCGAGGGACCATCTGCGGCATCTGCCGGCTCTGCGTCGTCATAATCAGGTACGCAGAAGGGGCAAGGAGTTTGCTCTTTGCTATTTGGGAGGGATAGACTAGGTTGATAGGAAGGCATAGCATGGAGGGACAAGTGGCTTGCTCTGGGTCTTTGGGCATTGCACGGCCGAGGTAACGATATAGCACGACTTATTGTAATCAAAAATTATTTGCATTTGTACCCGAGTGTTTGCAGATCAGATAACAACGTAGGTGAATCAGGGTGAGTTAATTTCTTAGGGGATACCAAAATTACAAGTCTAAGGCACTAAAGGAGAACTTGGGGTTTCAAAGAATATAAATTGCATTCCAATGGCTATATATAAGGCGAGCTGCCAGTCTGACACAGAGATCCTATACTCTTTTGAAGGTTAGCGACAGGTCACAACCAACATAACAAGCAATCATGTGCAAGGTGATAAGGTTCTCAGAGATCTTGGTAGTTAGGTAATTTCATAGCGAGAAGCTCAATTACTATCTAGGCGTGATAAAAGTTTCTAATCATCGGACCTGGGGGGTATTGCGGAAGATTGTGTGGATGTGTGAACATACCCTGTGAAAGATCGAGAGCGATGTTGCCGAGAGGTCCGGTCTTGAATATCAAATAATGTCCTAAAGCTTTTGAACAGGTCAGCGCGATGTCTCTCAAAAGCATTGACAGCATATAACATGAAGTTTATAATCCATATCAGAATATGTAAGAAAATTGAATATCATCCGACAGTGCTGTATAGAGAGCCCCGGCGAGGGCCTCACAGACACTGGGTCAATCGCAAATTACGGCATCATATGAGGGAAAGAAGGCGGGAAAAGGGAATATGAGCATACCTTAGTAAAATGCTACATTTGAGCAATTGGCGAAACTGAAGCAGAAGCAAGACTCATCATTAAAGTCTTGAGCTTCCAAAGCTGAATAGCTTGAAGGGAATGAGTTAAGTTGTAGGTCAAAAAAAACGAGATAAATGCACGGTCTCGGATAAAGGTTAATGCGGATGCTGAGATAAGCAGAGCCCTAGACCTGCAAGTGGCCGGTTAAGCGAGAATGTTGCGAGTGTGGGCACATCCGAATTTCGAGACAACTCTTGGACAATTGAACTCTTTCGACAACCCCTTCTCGACTCATACCCCCTGTCGACCGTGAGTGTGCTATCTCCAAATATTACAGACCCGCGACGCTGAATTTTTCATCTCGCAGAATTTCGCCATGGCCGATATCGATGTCAAGGTCGCTTCGTGGAAGCTGGTTGAGGTTGGCCGCCTAGTGCTGATCCGCAGCGGCCCCTTCGAAGGCAAGCTTGCTGCCATCGTTGAGATCGTGGACCACCGCCGTGTATGTGGAATCGCCCTTTGAAGTCCGGAAATCGTTACAAAATTGGAGAATCGGATTTTCGGAGATATTCTGAAGTTGGAAATTGTGTATTGACTTGCGATTTTCTTCAGGTCCTGGTCGACGGTCCCTCCACCGAGGAGCAGAAGATCGTGCCCCGTCACGTTCTCCCTCTCGCCCACGCCACTCTCACCCACTTCACCATTCCCCAGCTCCCCCGTGCTGCCGGTACCGGTCCCGTCAAGAAGCTTTGGGCTAAGAACGAGATTGATGGCAAGTGGGCCAAGAGCTCCTTCGCTCAGCGCACCGACCGCTCCGAGCGCCGCAAGAACCTGTCCGACTTCGAGCGCTTCAAGGTTCTGCGCCTCCGCAAGCAGGTACGTGGAAATATCGAATGGGGGGTGGTTTCTGGCACATAATGCGCCTGGGGCCCACCCGATCGGACAATCTGGGGAACTACGAACAGTCCAACTAACATACTGCAGGCTCGCTACGAGGTCCAGAAGTCCCACGCCAAGGCTCGCGCTGCCAACAAGTCATAGATGATTACGAGGTTTCGGTGCATGGGTTTGAAGGAGGTGTCCTGGAAGGGTTTCCATTGCTGGTAATACTCTGGCAAAATCGCTGTATGCATTATCAATGAACAGCAAAAATGATTCAAAATCCTTGATATCCCGGCAAAGGGGCCTTTTGTTATTTGGTTTTCCTCTGGCTCTGGACTCATTTTATATCCCCCAATTTACGGGAAATATCTGGCTCTACAAAAAGAATAGAACGAGCAGATGCGTAAATACATATGTAATGACCTGGAAACTGTATTATATACATATATTATATGATCTAGATGAGATCTATAAATTATTAGCCAATCTAGTTCAGAATTGGTGATGTAGTTCCATATAGGGCAATGTGTGCAGGGCGGGCAGTCTGGGGTCTCGCTAATGATTTTCGGGTTCGGTCTGGCGCACAGCTACGCACCTTCAACTTCAACAAAATCCATCCCCATTCACAACAGCTTGATATTTACCTTTCAGGTATGTATGATTATTTACTCGACTGAATCCTCGCCTTTTCAACAACAAATTCCGCCCTTTCCCGAGTGTTGTGCGATTCGTGGGGGGTTGACCAATCTCCTCCAATCTCTCCCACCATGCCCGCTCTCACACCATTCAACCAGCCTTAACACCATTGCGAACGAAACAACCCAACTAATCAACTCTTTTTTCGCATTCTTCTTAGGGCCCCTTTACATCGCAAAAATGGCTGATCCCCGCGTTGAAGAAATCCACGATGACGAGGTCTCCAAGACCGTCGAGGAGAGCTCCTCTGAGTCTGGCTCCGAGGCTGGCGATGAGCCCAACATTCCCGCCGGTGCCTCCGTCGCTGTCCACTCCCGTGGTGAGAAGAAGGCCCGCAAGGCTATTGGCAAGCTCGGCCTGAAGCTCGTCCCTGGCATCACCCGTGTCACTCTCCGCCGCCCCAAGAACGTATGTGAATCCCGATGCGACCGTCATGAGAATTTCTACCCCGCCAGGTACAATGTGCTTGCGACCATCAACCGCAACATGGGCTACCAATGGGATGGAATATCTTGATCATTCTCGATGTGGAGATGCTAATTATTGAAATTAAAGATCCTCTTCGTTGTCAACCAGCCCGAGGTTTACCGTTCCCCCAACAGCAACTGCTGGATGTATGTGGAACCCAATTGGAGTCAATTCATGCCTGAACGACATTTACTGACATACTTTTAGCATCTTCGGTGAGGCCAAGATTGAGGACCTGAACTCCCAGGCCCAGGCTTCCGCCGCTCAGCAGCTCGCTGCCTCCGAGGCCGCTGGCGACCACGCCGGTCACGACCACGAGGAGGTTCTCGGCAAGGCCAAGGCCCCCGAGACCGAGGATAAGAAGGAGGATGAGGAGGATGATGGTGAGGAAGTTGATGAGTCCAACCTTGAGTCTAAGGATATCGAGCTCGTCATGGCACAAGCAAACGTCTCCCGCAAGAAGGCCGTCAAGGCTCTCCGGGAGAACGACAACGATATCGTTAACTCCATCATGGCCCTCAGCATATAACGAGTGACCGCATTTAAGGTTCTATGAGGACTTGGGTTATGATGCCAGATGGAAGATGTCTGGTATGTTGTCGCCCATAGTGTACACAATTTAGCCCAAAAAACAATTGAACCCATGATTGAGTCAACCAATCATTCTATATATTTTGTAAATATATAAGAAAAATATAACCTGTTCATAAGTTATTTACAATAATGAACACGATCTCCCTATAATTTGTCTTTTTTGCCTGTATAATACACGGTGGATTTCGGAATTGGTATCACGTGACCCGAACAATCCAAACCTTCCGGGTCGCTCCTCGTTCGGCACCTCCCTGCACATTGAACTCCCCTCTCTTTTCCCCACCCCCAACCTCTATCATACCCGTCACAATGGCTGCTGTATGTTCTTCTCCTACTCCTCGACATGACAGACCCTTGTCAACCTATCCGGATGACTCCCGCTAACTCCCTTCACCCGAAAACAGCGCAGCGCCGCTCTCAAGATCGACTGGGCCCAGGTGTCGACCTCCCTCGGCCTCCGCGGCCAGACCGCCGTCTCCCTCCAAGCTTTCAAGAAGCGCAACGACGAGGCTCGCCGCAAGGTCCAGGTTCTGTCCGAGCAGCCCCAGGCCGTTGACTTCAGCCACTACCGCGGCATCCTGAAGAACAAGGCTATTGTCGATGAGCTCGAGAACCACTTCAAGACCTTCAAGCCCGCTACCTACGATGTCAGCCGCCAGCTGAAGGCCATTGATGCCTTCGAGTCCCAGGCTGTTCAGAACGCCGAGGCTACCAAGGGTAAGGTTGAGGCCGAGCTGCAAAACCTGCAGAAGACCCTGCAGAACATCGAGACCGCCCGTCCCTTCGAGGACCTCACTGTCGTACGTATTATCTGCTGCAGACCGCAGAGATGGAATCATTACTTACATGATTACTTTCTTAGGACGAGGTTGCCGCCGCCCAGCCCGAGATCGACGAGAAGACCGCTTCCCTCGTCTCCAAGGGCAAGTGGATGCCCCCTGGCTACAAGGTATGTGTTGACTGTCTTGCTGAGAGCAATGCGTTCGTTTTGATACTTATACCATTCCCTTTTGTAGGAGCGCTTCGGCGATCTGTCCGCCGTTTAAGCGTGGACTCTTGTGGCCTCAAATCAGCCTTTTTATTCCTCGCTCCATCACACTACGTGATCATGACTTTTGGAGCCAAGAAGATGGCTATTCAGCCAGTGTGTGGTCAAATACCTCCGATAGTGTGGTGGGGCAGTTGGGATGTGTATAGAAACAATACATTTGTCGTTTCTGCGTTCATTAATGGATTCTCTTGTAAACTCGTACATTTGTAGCTATATTAAGATTCTAATTATTGATAAATGGGTGGGAAATCTGCCGTAGCTAGAAAAATAAGGTCCACAAATATATGCTATGCCCGATATATATATCAAAGCAAGCTCTCTCCATGTGGATCGAGTCAGGATATATTGCGGAGTATCACGCGAAAATCGTTTCTTTTTCAAAACTCCGACGAGTACCAAGCGGCAATAGACATATTCCAGTTCAGATGTAGTAGACGATGTAGGCGCTCAAGCCACATACATAGTCTTGATGAGGAGCTTTCAAGCTGGCCTTGCCAAGACATGCAACTCACCTCAGTTTACCCACTTCCCCTACCCCTCAGTGATGGGCCGGGCTTTTTCCTTTCATTTACTTTCATTGGAGACTGCGCTGGGAGCGCGTCAAGTGCTTTTCCTACAGGTCACGAGGAACTGCAGGGACAGTATGCGAAGTCTGCAGTCAATATCGTATGGACTGTGTTTCCATTGAGATAAACCATACTCGTCTCTGCTCTTTCTCCTCCCTGGCCCTTTAAAAATATAAGCACACCGGTGATTTGCAATTGGACATCGTCTTGCTACAAGCAAACTATATAAGAACATATCATCTCTAGAGACACTGTTGCAAATGGGCCCAGGTCCCTCCGATCCGTTGGCCGACCACACGTGCTCGCGCCTTGAGTCACTGCCCGTGGAAATCCTGCAGTTGATCTTTCTTCACAGTCTTGAAGTGAACCTCCCTCGTGCTTCACCACGTCTCAGCCAAGCACTGTCCACTCCATTGCTCTATACCTGGCTCATTCGGCTTGCATTCAGCAGTCCCAATTCAGGCTCGCGAGAGGGCTTCTTTACCCCGGATTTCCTACCCCCGCCTTTGGACTTCTGGGCACTGTCCTGGAAAGACCGCCAGCAATTACAGACTAACCTGCTGGCATGTCGGTGGTGCACTTTTCCCCTGTTGCGGAAATGCCAGCGTGAGTACGTTGCCCATACAATCCGACGCAAATGTGTCGGCCTGGTCTTCAATCCGGACGACAAAGCAGTGCTGTCAAATCTAGACCCACGCTTTGAAAACCTAGAAGCTTGCGACTGGGCTGTACTCGGCCGGCGTGGGAAAGGGGATCTAATCATCCCCGCACAATTGGAGGAAACCTCGCGCCACGCTGTTGACCGCAAAGTGGCAATATGGTTCCATTTTGGCGCTGTACAAATCCGTAAACCAAGCGAGATATACCATGAGAACGACCTCTTCCGGCTGCCGTGCTCAGTGGCCATTGGACCTGGCCGCATTCCGGATAAGGTCTTGCGCTCGCCCTGGTCAGATGCGCAGTTTGAGTTCTTGCAGCTGCTCTCCTTGGACTTCTACCTGGATGAGGATGAGGCCAGGCCAGATCGCTCCTCTGAGATTACATATCATCTCATTCGAACGCGCAAGATCGAACCTTTCCGTCGCTTGTTGAATATACCGTTTCGAGCTGAAAATTGTCGTGTCCTTGCTCGCTGGCCACTACAGAATTCGCATTATTCCCTCGTCCGGCGCTATGGGAGTGGACCTGGGGATCCGTTTGCAAATGTTATTTTGAATGAGCGTTGGGATGACATGCCCGCAGAAGCAAAGCAGGATTTGTTGCGATATGTTGAGTCGTCCTCGCTGAAAGATGGAAATTGACATGCTTGTCTCCCCAGCAGGATCCACACCAAACAGTGTATAATAAGTCATATATACCTTCCAACTTCATGTCCATACCGCAAAACACTTACTATGTGTATATACACTCCTACATTTTATGTCTATCGTATATAGAAGAGACGCAATATACATCGATGTAAAAATTTCATATCCCAAAATTTGTTTCATAATTCACAATTAAAAACTGCGCCGCGGGGTATGTACTCCAAGCAGACATAATGACAAAAGAAAATTCGCGCCGGCATAACAATCATAGAACCCATAACCAGCCCTTCTATTCTCATGGACTCAATAGGTGTGTGCAGACATGACGGTTTGTTTCCCGTTAGACTGCTGATCGACGACCGCGCTTGCGTTTTCCACAGTAGCCGCAGGTCAGGCAGGAGATGATAACATCGATCACTGTGACCACGCCGCTGATGATGGCGTGGCAGATGGAGCCGATGGCGTTGACGATGGCCATGAGGCAGCTACCGATGGCGCGGAAGACGCTTTGGATCTAGAAGCAGGTATGTTAGTTGAGTTTCCTTAGAGAGCAGATGGGGGTTTCACATACGCAAGAGACGACGGCGCCCATATTGAAGATGAAGAGCTTTTCTTGAGTTGGTTTTGTATCAAGATGTTTGTTTATTTCGGTTTGATGAGAGTAGACTCCGAGCTGGAGGAAGCGTGTGTATGGATAGTTGGATCACTGAAAGGGTGCATATTGAAGATAGTGAAGTAGATGGAGAGGTGGTTTAAATAAAGAATGATAAAGATGATCGTCTTAGACAGGGACAGAAATTTCTTGTTCAGATACGTAAGTGGTGTCCAAAAGAGGCGATTGATAGACAAGTTCGTGTGGTGAAGCTTGTCTTGCGAGGCGTCAGAAATCACAAGGTGCAGACGCCAGTGACGTCGTTGTAGGAGCTATGACAGAATTTCCAAGGTTTGATGAAGAATGAGAGAGAAGAAGAGAATTTTGTAATGGAGCCCATGTCTTAATACACAAGGTACCAGGGGTGTTGCCCAACCGATCATTCCGTCATTTCGACTGGACTATTCCTTGATTTCGGGTTCAAGCACAGAATCTAGGTTTACATTGTAGAATTGGTGGAGCCATTGCATTCTAAATGAGTCTAGCATTTAAGAATAGCTGTTTTATTTTCCAATTTATCTTGAACTCGTGGACCCTTGAATGGTGATATTCTCTTTTTTCTTTTGTCCCGAGAGCTTTTTCTACCTGACAATCCTTGACGTCATTTGATAACAGGCTAAACCAAATTTAGTCACAAAGCGGGGTTATCACGTGATAACATGTGACTTTCCAGCCCTTCAATGCCAAGCCCTAACGCCAAGACATTTACCTGTCGGGCTCTTTCCCGCCAATCAGGGCGAGGTTAGGCCTCCGTTGCTTGTAACGTTGTATACTTCCATGACATGCGACCTACAACATACTACAACACTGAATAGTCATACACAAATCTGAAATGATTCAGGCTCACAGATTGATTAACTCATAGCGAGAAAGTTCAATTGCTCCATGAGCCCACCAAAACGCGAAGATGCAACCGTGACGCGGACAAAGCTTGCTCCGCCTGAGCCCGCAAGCACTTCGAATTCTTCCGCTATTCCCAAATCGAAGCGCCGACCAGGTCGCACCTTCAAGACTCCGATTCGGAGCAGCTCGTCTCGGTCCTCTCGGTCCTCTCGGTCGAGGTCTAGCCCCTACGACCGTCCTTCTAATTCGCCTAGACCCAGAATCTCGCGCCCCCATACTCCCCACAGGATGTTGTCCCTCCTCGAGGCCCTCCCCGTCGAGATCATCGAGCAGATCTTCCTGCACTCGCTCAATCTAAACTTCCCCCGAGCTTCGCCGTTCTTATCCCGCGCCCTCTCCGGTGAACACATCTATCGCGCCCTCATCCTGCTTGCATTCTGGAATGATTCGCTCGACTACCCCCGTAGCAAGGCTGTGGAGCGCATGATGGTCCCGCTCGACTATGTTCCTATCAAACTGGAGGAGCGCGCCCGCTTACAGGAAGCCGTCTTCAAGTGCAGGTGGTGTACCGTGGACCGCGTGCGTGCGCAGATCCCGACAATGCAGATCTTGACTATCCACCGTCGCTGGATCAACGCCGGTATCGTGACCAAGGAAGAGGAGCAGGCTGCTTTTGAAAAGTTCCTAGCACGTAAGGATGACAGTGTCCTCGTCTTCCATGGCAAGGGAGAACCAATGAAGGAACTCGCGAGCATGCCCCCAGAGTTCTTTCAGATGGCCCCGAACGCGCTGAAAGGCCCCCACATATACGAGCTCAATATAATGCCAATGGTTACCACCGAGCTCCAATGTGTGGATGTGAGATTGACTGTCAATCTCCCTGCACTGGATCTGTGCAAATTCCCATCTCATCTCCTCCGAGGCCGCAGCAACGGGTTCCTTCCAGAAGACGTTGCTTTCCTGGAGATGCTACGCATGACATCGTGCAATTGGACCCCTGGAAAGAGCTCCCTGACACCCTCGACCCTGACCAAAGTCGACCGCAAAGCCCTGAACGAAGGAATCCAGAACGCAATCCGTCACCAGAACTTCAACGCCATGCTTTCCCTCCTCAAAATTGACGAGTTCATTTTCCGCTACAAAGCAGAGAACCAAGGTCGCGGCGTCTTCTATACCATCCCGCCTGAACACTTCCTCGCTGTTACCCGCACCGGCCGCGATAAGCCACATCTCAACTTGGCTTTCTTTGAGGCTCTCCTCCGTGCTAGTGCGGAGTCTCTGCCTAGCTGGTCGTCGGAGATCACACAGTGGACCGTCGATAATATGGAACTGGCGAAGAAGAACCCGAGCACTTATAACCAGATTAATGGTAAGTTTGCGCGCTGGTTGTCAGATTTCCTGCTGCGCCTCCCTGCGCAGGTTGAGTATGCTAGTAGTTTCCCGAGTGGTCAGTTGTTTTGTTGTGGTCAGTTGGATACCTTGGATCTTGAGGGCGGCCGCTTTCTCGATGAAGTTCTTAAACCATCCCGTGAACCAATGGGGAATTGGTTGATGGAGAGTTCGTTCCGGACTGAGGATTACTGGCTGAAGAAGTTCGGCCCTCCTCTTCCTCCATGAGATTGTCCCGAGTAGGCTTATGAGGACGTTGTTGTTAGCGCTATACCCGGATTTTAGATTTCTCGTGATGTAATATATAGTACCACATATAGATCCAAAAGAATAGTTTACTTTGAATTAAATGTTCCCACAGCTAGAGGTATTATCCGTAGCAATGTGGACTATGTAGAGTACAAAATATCGATATGAAACAGAATTTTGTAATTATTTCCCGAAGAGAAACCCCATTACAGGTTACTCAACAACCGCAGAATACCAGCAATGCGTCCACCCAGCGTCAACTGATATCCCGTCTCAACAATACCCTTACACATCTCCCAAGCCGCAATCCCACCCCTCGCGTCCGCTGCGTTCTCCCGGTTTTGAATAGGATAGTCCAGGCGCGGCGGGATACCAGTGCCAATCAAAGTAGGGAATCGGTCAGCGCAAACAGCCTTGATATTGCACAGACCGCGCAGTCCCTCATCGCCAGCAAACCGGCCATATCCTGATCCGCGGACGCCGCCAAACGGCAGCTGCACAGCGTAAAAGGCACCAAAGTCGTTGATCGCTACCATTCCGGCGGAGATTTTCGACACGCAGGCTTGCACGTCCTTTTGTCGGTGCCCGAAGACGCTGGCGCCTAGTGCGTACGGTGTTGAGTTTGAGATGGCGATTGCGTCGGATACGGACTCGGCGCGCATCATGAGGAAGACAGGGGCGAAGAGCTCTGTTTGCGCAATCCTCATGTCGCGTGTCACATCTACTAGCAGGGTTGGTGTGAAGTAGTGGCCGTATTGGTGGACTGGGTGTTTGTGTTGGGTGCCGCCGGCGAGGAGGCGTGCGCCTTGTTGCACGGCTTCGTTGATGAGTTTCTCGAGGTTGGCGAAGGAGACAGGTGAGATCATTGCACCAACGTCTGGGGTTGCGGTGTCGAGGAGGATAGATCCGAGGTGGAGTTTTTGAATGCGTGGGGTTACAATTTCGATGAGTCGTTCGTATGCGCTGGGGAGGGCGATGATGCGCTCGATGCCGATGCAGTTCTGACCGGAGGATTGGAAGACACCGCGCATGAGGAGAGATGCGATGGAGGACATATTGCTGAGAGTGCGGGAGTCATCCAGGATCACAGCGGGGTCTTTGCCGCCTAGCTCGACACATACGGGAATAAGTGACTTGGCTGCTGATGCGCAGACGTGATGGGCGACAGGCCGGGATCCAATGAAGGTTATATGCGCGATATCAGGGTGCGAAGTGAATGCATTGGCAACATTGGGTAGACAGACTAGCGTCTGGACCAGATCGCGCGAGTGGCCACAGCTAGAGAGCGCGCCGCGCACCATCTCGAGGAAGTAGATTGCAGACCATGCGGTTTGCTCAGACGGTTTAACAACCACTGCGTTACCGGTAAACAGCGCGCTGATGATCGGACCAATGAAGTTGTGTAACGGGTAGTTCCAAGACACACACGCACCCACCACGCCTAGTGGTTCGTATGTGACCGTGTTTTTCTTGTACATCATTAGGAGGTTGGTCGGCCGCCGCTCTGGTAGCAGTGCCTTCTCGCCATGATCGATTGTCCATTTGAGTTTCTCCACTGTCACAAGGATCTCGCCGAATGAGCCGTCGACTTTTGTTTTACCCGAATCGAGACAGCATGCGGTAACGAGGTCTTCTTGGTGGTCTAGGACATATCTGTGAGATGTTAGTTGGACAAGCCTTACGGGGTGCGGTAGGTAAAGCGCAATGGTTTCATAGGACCGAGCGAACTTGCCAATCCACATACTTCAACAGTGTCCGGAGAACCTTTCTGCGCTCCGCAAATGTAGTCTTTGCCCACTCCGGCTGAGCAGCTCCCGCAACCCGAACGACCTTGTTGACATCGTCGACTGTGGCTGGCTTGATTCCGTTACCGAGTACCCTCCCATCGGCAGGACAGTAGCTCATAATCAATTGATGGTTCCATTTCTGTATAGTAGACCCGAGGTTAGCTCAAGAATAAGAAAGAAAGAATTCACAAGGAAAGGATCCCAAGCCAAAGACCGGGCTTGTCAACTCACTCCCCGAGCTTGATCCTGCAACACCATTTTCTGCTGCCCCTGAACCTCATCCCACGTTTTGATCGACCCGCTGTTGCGCACTTCGGAAGGGATAGGAACATTGAAAACGACTGCTGCCTCTCTCCAGCTTTGGATGTAGAGGTACCCCACGTACACGGCGACAAGGGAGGTCAACGCGACTCCGACGTATGGGGCGTACTCTGCCGACCCCGGAGGCGTGTAGGCCTCCAGAAGACTGCGCAGCGCTGGCGGAATGTGGGATGCCAGACAATCCATGGCGGGAATTGGTGCAATTGGACAACTGGAAAGTGTTGGGAGAGTAAGAGTTCCTGGAGACTTTCTGTGTTGGCGATAAGGCGATAACCGGGTTAAGTGTCCAGTCGTGCCATACATGGGCACCTGGGAGTCAAAGGCTATGAAAAAGTCTTTTGCACAAAGTATGCTTTTCCTACCTTTCACTGCTATCTACTTATAAAACTGAGAAGGGGGAGAAAGTATACAGCTAAAAAAAACTACAAAAACCTACTAAAAAGACATCACAAGGCATATGCGGCCGTCTACTCTTGCATCACTTAATTTAGGAAAATCAGAATTGTGTATAGCAATAATAATACATTCGTGTTGAGAGCAACAGCAAGATGGTAGGTAGATAACAATATAGAGTACATATATGGACTCAAAAGTCGTTGATCCTCATAGATCCATACGATCAATCCTCATTTAAAGATTCCACCTTCATTTCACATAATTTCGTTGTCATAAATGCGTTCACTCGTCACTTGTTTCGTCGGAAAAGGAACTCTCGCTTTCCTCGGTCTCCTCCTCGGAGTCCTTGTTCATTCTCTTGCGCTTCCTAGCCGCAGTCTTGGCAGCTGCTTTCTTAGAAACCACAGTCGGACCATTGCCCTTGCGTTTCCCATCACGGGTTAACAGGTGATCAATGACACAGCCATCCTCCCAACCAGCACTGGACTCGCCGGTCGCAGCTCGGCACCGAGGGCAGGTCTTTCCGTGCCGAATGAACAGCTGGTGGAGCGAATACTTCAAATGGTCGGGGATGCGCACTTCCAGGTGGCTGAAGGCGCTTACTTCGTTTGCACGGGCAGGAATCCATCCGAGCCAGCGGCAGAGCCGGAAGACGTGCGTGTCGACGGCGAAACAGGGCCGCTGGAGGCAGAACAGGATCACGCAGGCGGCTGTCTTGGGTCCGATTCCGGGGTACTTGATCAGATCGGTCATGGCTTCTTCAGTGGTGAGATTGTGGAGGTGGTTGAGGGAGAGGAAGTTCTGATCTGCACACGCGATCTCATATTGCTTGTCCTTTTCAGCCTTTTCGGGTACCAGCTTAGAAATTGAGTCGTTCTTGGACTCAGAATCTAACAATGCAGCCCGGCGCGCCTGGTTGTCCTCGTGGACTATGTCAAGAATCGCCTTGAGGTTCTTGCTTTTGATGTCGGCCAAGCCGCCACTTTTGATCGCTTCAAACACATCTTTCAGAGAAGCCTGTCGTACGGCATCCCAATTCACGCTTCCCTTGCCGATGCCTTCTGAAAGAATGCCAAATCGTTGCACAAGCCCACCGAAGGCCTTGGCGGCATTGTTGCCCGTGGTGGCACCGCTGAGAAGAGTACGAATTAAAGCATCCAGAACAGATGGGACCTCACCACACCCGGTGACCGTCAGGGAGGGCTCAGGGATGGTTGCCGGAGCAGTGACTACACCATGAATGCTGGACAACAGCCGATTGACATCTTCACACTCCTCTGCGGTCGGTCGAACCAGTTCGGGAAAAGGAGAAATACCGGGCGTTAGGCCATAAGTATTCTTCTTTGGCTTGCGGCCGGTTGTAGTAGTTGGAATCTTAGGTTCTTTCTTCAACTGAGTTGTAGTCTTGTTCACAGTGTCTTGGAGCTCAGTAGCCAGATTGTCAACCGGTTTGCCCTTTAAAGTTTGGTTTTCCTTGTCAGATCCAGCAATTGGGGCTGAGGGCTCTGTTGCTACAGACAATGGGGCGGGAACAGATCCTAGGTTGTGAGGGAGTTCATCAAACAAGGCTGGGCGCAACACTGGCTTCTCTTGCTTGATCACCATATTGGGATCATTGGGAGATTTCAACTCCATGATTGTGTTAATTTTGGGTGTATCCAGGGTATTGGGGGCATTGGAAGTGCCAGTGGGATTGAGACGCTTTCGTTTGTTCACTTTAGTAGAGCTTGGTGTTTGAGTGATATAAGGGCTGTTTTCTCCTGCAATCAATACAGCTGCAGCTGCAGAGCGAGTAATGCGGCGTTCCATGATTGAGAAGATCCGGTCAGAGGGTCTGCAGCAAGCCTCGAGTGCACGAGAATCGATAATGGATACAAGATATATCGAGGTATATCAATCCATTTGAATCATCCACGAGGGTCACGGGTCAAAAGATTAAGCCTGCTTCAATGTCGGTGATCATATGGGTCGTAGATGTGGAGAGGAGATGATGTTACTGGGCAATGGCACTAACACGTGACCTACCTCTTCGGGAATCTCAAACTCAAAAACCAAAAAGGAAACCAGCACTTCAGTATGGGAATATTGCATTTATTTTAGTTTCATTAGGAATTATTGACAAGTGTATCTCAAGACACTGGGTATTGGTATTTTCAATGCATTTCCACATTTCAACATTTCCACATCATTTAGCGGCAAATTGGCCACATATGCTCCCTCAAAGAAACGCCCAGACACCCAATGCAAATTGCCAAATGGTGGAGAAAAAAAAAGTGAAAAAAAATTGCTCGTAATCATGCCTCATGGTCAGCCTGGTTGTGGATGCTAATGTCCATGCGGTCCGAGACCTTCGGGTTCGTTTGGTCTTCGGCGTGGTCGACCTGCTTCGCGGCAGTAGATGCTGATGATTCGTTCTCTATGGCAGGAATGATCTTGCCATTGGTGTCCATGGTAACTCCATGGGCAGCAATCTGGAAGTCGGTCATGTTCGCAAAGCCATTGGTGACAGCCTCCTTGGCCTTGTCAAGAGCCTTGACCTTGCGACCTTCGCCACGGACGGACTCCAGATGTTCGAAGTAACCGGATGAAACGGGGGTAACGTAGCTACCGCAGAACACACCGACCTCGAAATTTGTGGGCTCTTGCTGACCGTTTTCACGGGCAACCTCGGCACAGGCGTCCTTGAGATCAGGCAGAGTTTGGAAGACAACCGCCTCCGCGCCAATGTGCTTGGCAATGGCCTCCGAGTTCCGATTGTGCGCAACCAACTCTTGAGGAGAGGCAAGATCGATACCGTAGATGTGAGCATGTGTGATCTCCGGTGCGCAGCTCGCAAGATAGACCTTCTTGGCGCCGGCTTCCCGGGCCATGTTGACAATCTCACGACTAGTGGTACCACGAACAATACTGTCATCAACCAGCAGAACGTTGCGGTCCTTGAACTCAGCCTTCATGGCATTGAGCTTGCGGCGGACACCCCTTTGCCGTGTCTTTTGCTCCGGCATGATAAAAGTGCGGAAGACGTAACGGTTCTTGACGAAACCGTGGCAGTAAGGCTTGTTAAGGTATAGCGCGACATTGGTCGCGGACGTAGTCGCCGTTTCAGGAATGGGAATGACCACGTCAATATCCTTGACAACCTCGGGACCCAGGACATCAAGGATCCGTGCACCGAGACGGTCACCCATGCGTTGCCGGCTGCGGTACACACTGATGCCATCCATGACAGAGTCAGGGCGAGCGAAGTAGACATACTCGAAGATGTCCGGGGCGTAGGCCTTCTTGGGGGCGACCTGGCGGAAGACCGGCTCACCACCCTTGGCGATGATGACCGCCTCGCCAGGCTGAATATCACGGTGGTTGCTGAAACCCAGCTGGTCCAGAGCGACTGATTCAGAAGACATCATGTAGTCCATGCCAGGTCCATCCACGGACTGACGAGAGCCCAAAATGAGGGGGCGGATACCGTATGAGTCACGGAAACCCAGGATACCAAAGCCTAGATAGCGAGTTAGTACTGTGGACTAGGATGATCACACATGATTTATAACTTACCAGCAAGCATAGCAGTGCAGGCCCATCCACCCTCACAACGTTTGTACATGCGAGTCAAACTGGCGAAGAGGTCCTCGTGGTTGACACGGGCCTTCTTGGTCTCACTCAGCTCATCAGCGAAGACGTTGAGCATCAGCTCGCTATCACTGTCGGTGTTGATATGACGGTGGGCTTCAAGGTCAAGGTGCTTCTTGAGGTCCCCGGCATTGATCAGGTTACCGTTGTGTGCAAAGCAGATACCGTAGGGGCTGTTCACGTAGAACGGCTGGGCTTCGGCGTTGGCACTGGATCCTGCGGTCGGATACCGCAGGTGGCCAATACCCATGGAGCCGGGCAGGTTGGTCACCTTAGCACCTTCCTGGAAGACCTTGGCAGCCATGCCGTTGGCCTTGAGCTGGTAGATCCGACCCCCAGAGGCACATGTTGCAATACCGGCTGCATCCTGACCACGATCTGTGATACAAAACCTTTAGTCTCACGGTCGCAGGTGTATGGATTCTGGCCGGAACTCACGTTGGAGAAGGTAAAGTGCCTCGTGCAGATCCACAGCGGCCGCAGAGGAGGGGTTCGCCTGGATCAGCGCAATGATACCACACATCCTGACGGAGAGTAGGCTTTCTGGATGGACGAAGAGAGTTAGTACCAGTGTTCATCCATTGCATTCACAGTGTATAGTAAGATTGCAGTGTCTCAAATCAGTTAAGGTGTTTATCCGCAACAATTGTTTAGGAAGTCTAACATCTATAAAAAACCATAGATCATCATAAGAGACAGGGGGGTGAGAAGCTTGAATAAAGCTGAAAGCCAAAAACAATAAAACCATGCCACTTACCAAAACCAGATCACGTAAATGAATGAGGGAAGTTCAGAGAATGGTCATCACTAGAAATGAACACCACCCCAAGACAGAGAGAGGGAGAGAAATATTCCATGGCAGATGTGTTTCTTCGGTGGTTGTGCCCCACAGAATGAAAATTTCTCGCTCCTCCGCCCGGGCCGACTTCGGGGGGATGCCCCGGGGAGGGGGAGCTGACTCATATCATGAGTAATCACGCTGCCCCACCTTTGCCCTATGTACTGTCCCGAACAGGCTAAGCGTCTATATGATGTTGATACATACATAGATGGATGTATGTTCAAACCAGCTTGCAAGGTTTATGTCCACCTTCAATGAGATAAAAAAATGGATACCATGCCTTTATGCCAGTCTTTCATGCTGTACAAAACAATATGCTCTCTGCTTTGTTGATCAAATATACATAGACATCCGTATGAATTGCTTCAGTTGGAAGTTGTTATGTATAGAAGATCTGGCAAAGCCTCCTACCACTTCTCTTCAAGAGAGATTGCTATCTGAGCCAAATTGTACTCATTCGCGCAAGACTGGTTTCGAACACCCGACTATAGCAACATAGGTGTTCCTGAAGTCATCTGAACTTGACTCTATAATCTCAAGATCATCTATCGGGTTTGGTTTGATATCAGCACTTGCTTTTTTTTCTTCATCTTGATCTCAAACCTGGTCTTTGCATCCTTGCACAAACCGAGTATGGAAGACTTTCATCGCTCAACCATCACACCAATGGCTGATATCAATGATCGATCCCGTATTTCGGTGTCTCCATTTGGAGACCCAATTCCTGTCAACACTGCAGAGTTTCGAGCAGTAACCCATGAGCCAACAATGTCTGACGACGACATAATCATGTCGGATCCGTCGGCGATCTTCATCACTTCGCCCATGCGGGTCGTCATTGACCTCACTTGCGACGATGAGACCGATCAAGCCATTGAAGAATTGACCTCTGACATGGCACACGTTACGGCTCCATCTGCCATCCCCGGTGACGACTCAGCAAGTGGCCGGTCTTCCGGCAACTCATCTGTCATCAGCAACCAGTCCCCCGGCTGCAGCCCAACGCCAGAGACGACGCAGCAAGAAATAAACATTGGGGGTATTGTGTTCAAAGCCGGAATATCTCTGGAGTTTGATGATGGGTCCTTCATGCGTGTCGAGGACGTGATTCCTCAGCCTCATGACCTGCGCTTTTTCGGCCGGCGTCTTTACCGCACAACTCACCCCGAAGCCAAGACATATCTGCCAAAAATGAACGACGAACTGGTCTGGCTCACTCAGAACACCGACCACGTGAGCATTAAGAAAGTCAAGCGGGTTGTGCCCATTTGCTTCACCAACTTTCGGACCGACTTTAACACACCGGGAGATGAACTGACTTGCCGACTGAAGCTCACGATTCGCCAGACCGGAGTTGTGATCATCCCTGGTAATGCACCTTTGAGTGCAGAGCAGTGTGCCATTGAATGGCTGACCTTCTCTGAATCAGACCCAGGACATGGCAAGCCCGCAAACCTGCTGCGAGATGAATGGAGAGGCCAGACTGTGCCTTTCGGTGAGGCTAGTGCATCTTCCTTGGCCATGGATCTTGAACGACAAGGCGTGATCGATCTGACTACCCCTGACCGTGCGTATACCTTTGGTGACGCGTACTGTGGTGCTGGTGGTGTGTCTTGCGGGGCCCAACAGGCCGACGTGAAGCTCCAATGGGCCGTTGATATTGACAAGCATGCACTGGAAACATATCAGCTGAATTTCAACGACGTAGAGGTCGAGCATTCCGATTTCTTCAGTTTTCTTACCAACGATCCACAATTCCTGCGAGTCGATATTGCACACTGCTCACCCCCTTGCCAAACCTGGTCTCCTGCTCATACTGTGCCCTGTCCTCGCGATGACGCCAACTCGGCGTGTGTATTTTCGGCTGGAAGTTTGATTCGAGAGTCACGGCCCCGGGTGTTGACTATGGAGGAAACCATGGGTTTGCCGCAGCGATTCCCCGTTATCTTTAACCGAGTTGTACTGGACATGGTCGAGTTTGGATATTCTGTTCGCTGGTCAGTGCTGGGGTGTGACGAATATGGTGTGCCTCAAGAGCGGAAGAGACTGCTTCTTATTGCTGCAGGGTAAGTGAAATGAAGTGAAATGAAAGACGAAGCTTTTTATATTTTTATATGCCTCTAACCACGTGCCCATAGACCCGGTGAAGTTCTTCCACATTATGCCCAACCCACTCATGGTATGCCTGGTCACGGTTTACTTCCCAGGGAGACTATTTCATCCACTATTGACAACATCCCTCCCGATGCCGACGACCACAACGTCGAAGGGGCCCTGGCGCGGTGGGCTCTGAGCCATCGGCCCTCTTTTGATCGCAACTCTCTGGCTAGGACCATTACTTGCGGGGGCGGTGAATACAACTACCACCCCTCGGGCACCCGGCCCTATACAAATCGTGAGATGGCGCTCTTGCAGACATTCCCTCTGGACTTCCAGTTTACTGGGAGATTCATGCGCAAGCAAATTGGGAATGCCGTGCCCCCGCTCTTCGCCAAAGCTATCTACGGAGAGATCGTCAAGTCTCTGCGTCAGACTGATACAGAGGAAGCCATGGGAATCTTCCATTGATTTACCGGAGTGATGGTGAGGGAGATGAATAGGAAGAGATAGGGGAGTTGGGGAGTTGGGGAATTGGGGATGGGTGATGATCTGCAACCTCACGTGCAGATCAGCCGAGGGCCAAGGGGTAAGCTCGGTGTGAGCTCCATCTAACAAAGGTTTTTTACTCTTTACTTGTTCTTTTCACAATTCGGACCGCGTACATTCCGATTTTCGCTGCATATTACAGCTATTGTTTGTTGATCTCCTGTTTACGTCCGATACTCGGATTTCTAGTAAGGAGCTCAACAGAAGGCAATGTAGCAATAAACTCGGCCAATTGAGAAAGTAATAGTGTAATGATTGGCCTACCAACCTATCGAACAAGGTAATTAATCCCATCAAAGGAAATAGGTGTAGGAATATAATGAAGTAACTTTGGAATAACCGATTGTAACCGACCCGAGGGCTCGGCAGGATGAAGTCAGCTTGGAACTCAACCCCGGCCATTTTTCTCCCTTTTTCCCCAACATTCCTCCATTCGTCCATTTGTTTTTAAATAAACCATCTCTCCCCTCCTAATTGTGCCTAGACCTTCAATATCTTTTTTCTCAATTCTTTCACAATGTCCCTGCCCGCAGTGAGACGCTTGACCCACACGTCTCCCCGCACTTTGGCCCGCATCTCCAGATTGCCCACTTTGGCTTCTTCCCTCTCCATCTCTCCCCGTATCTCTATTCCTCGCACTCCCCGTTTCTCTACAATGGCCGCTCGTCAGTCCGCCGCCCCGGCGGTTCATACCGATAAGTCCTACGACCCTGAAATTCAGGATATGGCTAGTTACATCCACGACTATAAGGTGGATTCCGACTTGGCAGTAAGTTACCCCCGGCTCGGTCACATGGAGCACCGGCTAATTCTAAATTTTTTGTTGTCTACAGTTTGACACTGCCCGTCTGGTGTTCTTAGACACCCTTGGCTGTGGATTGGAGGCTCTGAAATTTAAGGAGTGCGCAAAGCTCCTTGGCCCCGTTGTGGAAGGCACTGTTGTCCCTAATGGTACCCGTGTGTTTGGCACACCTTACCAGCTGGACCCCGTCAATGGCGCCTTTAACATTGGTGCTATGATCCGCTGGCTCGACTACAATGACTGCTGGCTCGCTGCCGAGTGGGGTCACCCCTCGGACAACCTAGGTGGTATCTTGGCTGTGGCTGATTGGATCTCGCGCACAAACCGCGCCGGTGGAAACCTTGGCAATGGCAAGATTCTGAAGATCCATGATGTTTTGGAGGCCATGATCAAGGCCCATGAGATCCAGGGTGTCCTGGCTCTGGAGAACTCCTACAACAAGGTCGGTCTCGACCACGTCGTTCTCGTCAAGGTTGCGACCGCCGCTGTCGTCTCCAAGATGATGGGCCTCACCGAGAGACAGACCGCCGATGCTATTACCCAGGCTTGGGTGGACGGTCAGTCTCTCCGTACCTACCGCCACTCGCCCAACACCATGTCGCGTAAGTCGTGGGCTGCCGGTGACGCCTGTCAGCGCGCTGTCAACCTGGTCCTCAAGGTCCAGAAGGGCGAGGGTGGTCTCCGCACTGTTCTCTCTGCTCCTACCTGGGGCTTCTACGATGTCCTGTTCAAGGGCAAGAAGTTCCAGTTCCAGCGCCCCTATGGCAGTTACGTCATGGAGAACGTTCTGTTCAAGGTTTCCTATCCTGGTAAGTGCAGGAATATTTTGCAGGAAATGGCACAGTATAGAGATCGACAGCAGCTAACCCGTATTTAATAGCCGAGTTCCACTCTCAGACTGCCATTGAGGCCGCTGAAAAGGTCAACGCTAAGCTTGCGTCCATGGGCAAGAGCGCCAAGGACATCAAGGAGATTACCAACCGCACACACGAAGCATGCATCCGCATCATCGACAAGCAGTTCAAGGAGATGGACAACTTCGCCGACCGCGACCACTGTGTGCAGTACATGGTTGCCACCATGCTCGTCTTCGGCCGCCTCACCGCTAGCGACTACGCTGACGGCTCCGAGGCCGCTACCTCCCCTCTGCTGGAGGAGCTCCGCAAGAAGATCCGCTGTGTCGAGGACACCAAGTTCACCACCGACTACCATGACCCCAGCAAGCGCACCATCCCTAACGCGCTGACCGTCACCCTGAACGACGGCACTGTCCTCGAGGAGATCGTCGTCGAGGCTCCTCTGGGCCACCGTCTCCGCCGCGAGGAGGCTAAGCCTGAGATTCTGGCCAAGTACAAGCGTCACCTTGAGGCGCACTTTGACAAGGCTCGCGTTGATGAGCTGCTGGAGCTGGGCTGGAACCGCTCTGAGCTGGAGAACTACGATGTTGACCAGTATGTCGACCTCTACGTGAAGGATAAGATCATTGCCTCCTCGTAAACATTGGAATGAACGGGTGATCTGGTGTGCTGTGCTGGAAATCACACGTGTATGACGAACATATCTTTTATATACCGCAAAATTGTATAGAGCTTTTTTTTAGTGTTTCTTCAGTATTCTTCCCATTCACAACATAACTATACAAATGTCATTTCCTGCTTAGCCCGAGGCCCCGGGTGTGCATTTCACCCCCAGATTCGACGGGGTGTTAGCACACAGCACCTCACTGCCTCCAGATGGCGCTTCAACAGTATACGCAGCAACCTTGACACCACAAGTTCCACCAGATCCGCAAGCAAGACTGCCTGTAACAGCCTTATACTTCCCGCTCGTTCTCCCGCTAATATTATCAAAAACGATATCCGTCAAACGCGCATTTCCAGGATTATTCACGCAGTAATCGGCCGTCTCTCCATAGCAACTCTGAATCTGAATCGCATAGTCACACCCATCAACCACAACACCCGTGAAAGTAACATTGCTCACTGTCGAAATGCCATGATTTCCACCAGTGGGATACGTCTTGATGCCCACCGCCTTAGTCGAGTCAATCATCGTTGCGCCGGACACGTACACGTTCTTCACCGAGTCGGCGGAACTTTTGCCCAGCGATCCTACCGACAGTCCATGGCTTCCGATGCAGGTAATATCCGTGACTGTGACGCCATCTGCACCAGGCTTGAATGCCACGCAGTCATCGTCGTTCTTCACCTGCACATTGCTGATCACGACGTCTGTGCTGGCGCCGATGTCGAAACCGTCTGTGTTCTTCGGCTCATTCTTGCTTTTGGATGTGGCGTCCATTTTGAGATCAGCAAATATAACGGTCTTGGTGTTGCCTTTAACGGAATTGAAGACGTTGGGCGGGTTCTTTTGGCGGAGGTTTGAGACCTCGATGTTAGAGCCGCCGGTGATGTAGAGGAGGGTTGGGCGAGCATAGCTGCTGTCTGCTGCAAAAAGGTCCCATCTATACGTGATATTAGTGAGCTGAAATGGAAGTTGAACAAATGAAAGGAAAGAAATGCATACGCATTTTGCCCATTTCCGTCAATCACTCCGTTTCCTGTCAAAGATCGGATTTTGAGTCCATCAATATTCTTGATATTGATCATTGCTGTCTCTCCCTCCCAGCGATCAGTCGATGAGCTGAATTTCAAGAGTCCTTCCACTTGGAAATCACACCCAACACACCCCGCAAAGTCTAGCGGGCTATTCAGGTAGTAGGTTTTGCCAGCGGGAATGACTATAGTGCCTCCCTTTCCGCATGAGGCAATTGCCGATTTGATGGCGGGAACATCGTCGATTGAGGCAGATCCACCTGCTGCTGGTGTGCAAGCTGAAGCACGAGCATTGAGAGGTCCTGAGTTGTCTGTTAGGGCGAAAGCCGAAGTGAGGAGCGCAAAGGCTGCGAGGGATCTTGTTATCGACATGGTGCAGTTGGTTGAAGGTACCACAGTTATAGCCTGGGAATAACTGCGTATCTAGTGAATTTATAACTTTTATAACCTTTCTATTCTCCTTTTCTTCTCTTTAGTGTTTTACATTTTGCATGTGGACGACTCTAATGTTTTGTCAACGGAGAAATAAGACAACCTGAAACACCTCCCACTTTAGCGCCAGCCCCGTCATTCGAGGAATATTTTTTCTTCAGTGAATATCATTTCTTCATTCCTCGGCAGTAATTACTCAAGTTGCTATCCGGTGAATCTTCGGCGTTAATTTCCCCGGATATATGATTTACACTGCATATATACATCTCCCCTAAAGCCACGGGTTCCGGAACGCCGTGGAACTCCGTGAGACAAGTATCGAATTTAGAGGACTGAGACAATTAATATACTGTGGATAAATTGCCTAGCTACGTTTACCCCTGAGTAAAGATAGCGATGGTTGAAGAAAGCTTCCTATTTATGGAAATACCTCGGAGTAGAGAATAGTATGTCTCATTAACAATAGCTCCGGTGGACACAGAGGAGCCTCCCCCTTGAAACAAAATCCGCATGACAGTCTCACTGCATATAATGTCTCTTAAAGCGCATATAGTCCGACAATCATTTCCTTCTTTCCGGTAAAACAACAATCACTACCAAATGCATCTATACAACCTCCTTCTCACAGCCCTATCCCTCGGGACGGGTGTCCTAGGCGCACCCACCGAACTAGCCACTCGCGCAACTAGGACTAGTGCCCCCTCAGGTTGCTTGACAGTCGGTTCGGGCGGAAAATACTCGACTATCGGCGATGCCTTGACTGCTCTCGGCTCATCCTCGGCAGCGGCTTGTATCTACGTCGCAAGCGGCACGTACAACGAGCAGATTACTATCAAATATGCCGGTGCTCTGACCTTGTATGGCCAAACTGTTGATACGCAGACATACAAGCAGAACACTGTTACTATTACCCATACCATCTCTTCGCCCCAGGCTGGCTCACTGGACAAAAGTGCTACTGTGAATGTTGTCTCCGCTGGGTTTAAGATGTATAACATCAACGTGGTGAATGGGTACGGGACTGGTGCGCAGGCTGTTGCGTGAGTATTCATTCCTTGCCTTGATATTTGAATCATTCACTGACTATACCAGACTCGTCGCTAATGCCAATAACCTTGGCTTCTATGCATGCCAGTTCCTTGGATACCAGGATACCCTGTACGCCAAGTCGGGTACACAGTACTATGTCAACTCCAAGATTCAGGGTAAGTCATAAGTCATCTCCTATAACATCTGTCCATCTTAGTTTTGGATACTAACAATTCCTAGGATCCGTGGATTACATCTTCGGCGATGCCTCCGCCTGGTTCGGCAACTGCGACATCGTCTCCAACGGCCCTGGTTATATCACCGCCAGCTCGCGCGAGGTAGCCACAGACACGGCCTGGTATGCAATTGACAACTGCAACATCAAGGCTGCGTCTGGAGTTAGCGATGGCACTGTATACCTTGGCCGTCCGTGGCGAGGACTTGCTCGCGTCATCTACCAGAACTCCAAGCTGGGTAGTTTGATTAATCCCAAGGGATGGGCAACAATGGCCCAGGGTGCTACACCATTATACTATGAATTTAAGAATTCTGGAGATGGCTCGGGTACTTCTGCGCGCCTGTATGAGACTGCAATCTCGGCGGCAGTCACGAAGAACACGGTTTTGGGGAGTGACTTTGCTAAGTGGATTGACTCGAGTTATTAGCGGACTATGGAGTCAGATCAGAGTCTAGGTTGTGGAAATGTATTTTAGATTGGCTTGGCTGTTAGTATTTTAATGGTGTGTTACTTGTGCATAGATATTATGTGCATAGTCCTTAGTCCCTAGGCTCATAAGCATAAGGCAACAACTCATCAATAGAGACAGATTTCACCTCCCCACCCTTCTGCACAATAACCCGAATCCCAGGGTGCAAATCATGCAGCACCTGTCGACACCGGCCGCAAGGATTGATAATAACTCCATCGTGGCCGTCTTCCCCAACAGCAACAATATGCAATAGACGGGGAGTCCCAGCCCCCGCGGCTACACCGAGCACCACGAGCTCAGCACATGGTCCACCCGTGAAGTGAAATACGTTCACGCCGGTGAAAACTTGGCCATTAGCCGACAAAGCTGCGCTGGCTACGCTGTGGGTATCTGATTTTGGGATTGTATTGATTGTTGTTCTTGCAATCTCGACGAGGTTGGTTTCTTCGGGAGTCAAGTCCATGGTGACAGACGAAGGGATTCGATGTTTGCTTTTTGATAGAGGTATGTGCGATATGATAAGGACGCCTTCGACCAGGGGAGTCTAGATGTAGATGCCAATATGTACGGAATTTGTATATGCTTTCAGAAAAAAAGGGGGAGCAGCTTAAAAGTTGTCTCCATAGTGGGGCGAGATAAATTTCCTATTCCGGTGCCCGATTCCTCAGATTGATTGTTGCACAAGATGAGAGTCTACAATCATGATAATTTAGTGTATACGTCCTGGTATAAGTAGATAGCGGGAAAAGAGTATTAGGAGGAAAGTGTTGAGCATATCATCCCTTAAAGGGGTAAAACTACGTTATGAAGATGTCTATTCGGTTGGAATAGACTCCTTTGTATCACGACTGTAGTGAACCTAGTTCCCTCTATATGTTTGCTGTATGGATACAGCAAGCAAGGTCTTCCGTTAAGGCCCATTTGAATAGATGGACAAAAGATGTATAAATGTGGATCAAAGAGCTGAATGAACATGCTTCGTGTCACGTTGAGGGATATCTTAAAGAAAAACAACGCAAAAAAAAAAGAAAAACCAAGGCAAAAGCAAAGCAAGCAAGAGAAAAATGGTGAAGAAAAAGCAAGAAGCCGTAGTGATTCCACTGGGCAAATCTTGGAGGGTATAACCACCGACAATATCAATGCAAATCGCAAGCGCCCCCACAGGATCATGCATGCAGGAAGTCATTCTTTCCGGAAATTATCCTCGTGCTTCTTCCTCTGGCGAATACGAAGCTTGGCATATCGGGCACTTGTACCGACGGTATTCAAACCAGGATTTGAGACAATCTAGGTGGAAGGCATGCTTGCAGCGATTTAGTACGAGAACATCGCTACCGGGTGGAGGATGCCGTGCCCCACAGGAGCAGCGGGAGTCTGGCCGTGTAGCCGGGTTGTGATGCTGGTCGTGGGCCAGAACAGATGGATCGGGACAGGTGAGGTATGGGGATGACGACAGTGCTGATAGACAGATGGGGCTGGTAGAGTTAGCTTAATTCGAGAAGATTCAGATGATTTGTCCAGGATCATTTGCGCGGTCTGCTATCAGACCACGATGTGTTTATCCAGGAACGCGAATTGGCATTGGGGGGGGGTATTCGCGGGCGAGAGTGCCTTGCCCAGAAACATGAACCCGCCTCGACGAGAATTCGCCGATCCCGATAGGGCGGAGGGGCCCAGAGCCCAGCCCTAGTGTCCCCGCACTACATCATCGAGCCGCAGGGCCAAGAAGTCAAGGAGGAGGGGGGCCGGATTCGGAGGGAGGAATGCTGAGATATCACACTTACCAAGTATCTTGGCCGTATTGCTGGGCACTGGTGGGCACATTTTGTTCTTCCAACCATCGATCCACGGACACAGGTTGACCCAACACATTCTGCAAATGTACCTGATAGACCGGTGGGAGAACCGTGGTTTGGGCCATTGCGCGCATGGCTGCCCGTCGTCTGTGATGCCACATGATCATCCTAAGTCGAAAAATACAAATTAGTGATCGGCAAGTCAGAACTTCGAGAACGATTCGCATGCATGAAGCGGGGGAGCCAAGACTATCGGGCCTATGTACTCACACCGGAATCATGCTGATCAGGGAAAACAGCGCAACGGCCCCAATCACAACCCCGATTATCTCCTCTCGCGGCATGGAATCGTCCGCCATAAGTGGAGGATCATATGGGTTCTAGGTCCAAGCGAACGAGATACGAGAAGAAAATAATAAAATAAAGAATTGGAGTATCGCCCAATAGACCCAATAAAAATAGAGGAATAGCGCAGCGTGAGACAATGTGCAACCTGGATCGGATCACTCGGGTCAATCATGTATTCAGGCACCGTGTATCCAATAATAGTTGATGGCCCATTATTTGAGGCAAAAAACAAATTTAATCGGGGTTTTGCCTCATGAGAGTAGAAAAATGTCCCCGGAGAAGTAGGTGGATTTGAAGCGGAGGAACCCTCGAGCCCCGAAATGCCAAGAAATTCCAAGAGCCAAGAGCCAAGGCGCCCAGAGGTGGGAAATAAACCAGAGCAACAAACAGCGACGACCTGGCCAGCCAAGGAAATGCCAAGAGGTTTCCGCGCCAATCAGCATCGGATAATTGTCGCGTGGGCGACGGCTGAGACGTCGCCCAGACTCATTTGCGTCATCAACTGAATGGGGCAACTGAGCATGATACGCCAAGAAACATACACTTAATACCGAGATCTGGTAAATAAAGCTGATTGGATGTCAGGAGCATCTTGATTGCTGGTTCCCCGGATGTCGGACGCCATTTCCATCAGATTACTTCCGGTTTTAACAGCCGGTCATATTTCGCCATCGATGAGATACTGATCTTATTTATACTTCAAGACGTCCCCCCGGAAGGAAAAAAAAAGGTTGTTTCATAGAAGTGTACCTATTACTCCAAAGTAATTCCGGTGTATGGACTCTTATTCTCTTACATATACTTTCTTTATGTTGCCCCCTTAAGAGCCTCATAATATATCTTTCACTCAATTCACTCAATCCACCCAATTTACTCAACTAAGAGACACACTGTTCGCCAGATGTCGCAGGAAGCCCAAAAAGGCTCAGGCCCTCAGAGCCCCGCTGACAGTACACAACAACCTCTCTCCCAGCCCGCCCATAGTCTCTCCTTCGAAGACGTCATCAGCGAACTCCAAACCAATTCCGACGATGGGTTAACATCTGCGGAAGCTAAGCAGCGCGTTGAGAAATATGGCCAGAATATGCTCGAAGGAGACGAGGGCGTCTCCTTGGCGAAGATTGTCATTCGACAGATCGCCAACGCCATGATGCTGGTAAGTCAGAAGTCGGAAATAACTCCCAAGGGATGATTGCTAAGAAGTTACAGGTCCTTATCATTGCCATGGCCGTCAGTTTCGGTATCAAGTCCTGGATCGAAGGAGGTTTCATCGCCGCTGTCATCGCTTTGAACATCGTCGTTGGTGTCTACCAGGACTACGCCGCAGAGAAGACCATGGACTCGCTCCGATCACTCAGCTCGCCTACAGGTGTAGTCTCTCGTGATGGCAAAACGTCAACCATCCCAGCAAATGAGATCGTCCCCGGTGACATGGTCGAACTGAAAGTGGGAGACACTGTTCCTGCTGATGTCAGGTGTGTATCGCAACCCCCCCCCCCCCCACATAGAATATACCAGAACCCCAACCTAATTCCTTCCCAGACTTGTTGAAGCATTCAACTTCGAAACCGATGAAGCACTGTTGACCGGCGAGTCCCTTCCGGTCCAGAAAGATGCAAATGCCACCTTTGACGTCGACACCGGCCCAGGCGACAGACTGAACATAGCCTACAGTTCCTCAACCGTGACACGAGGACGTGCTCGCGGTGTCGTCGTGGGGACCGGAATGAGTACTGAGATTGGAGCTATCGCTCAAGCCCTTCGTGGAACCGACTCGAAGCGTCGTCCTGTTAAACGCGGACCTGAAGGGGAAACAAAAAAGAGATGGTATATCCAGGCTTGGACATTGACGACCACTGATGCCATTGGCCGGTTCTTGGGTACCAATGTCGGTACACCTTTGCAGCGGAAACTGTCTAAGCTGGCCCTTCTACTCTTTGCCATTGCTGTTATTTTTGCGATTGTCGTTGCTGCGTCGAATGACTGGCGCGGTGATAGCGAGGTCATCATCTACGCGGTCGCGACTGGTCTAGCTATGATTCCGGCTTGTTTGGTAGTTGTGCTAACGATCACAATGGCCGTCGGAACGAAACAGATGGTCAAGCGTCATGTCATTGTCCGGAAACTGGACTCCTTGGAGGCACTCGGTGCTGTCACCAATATCTGTTCAGACAAGACTGGTACTCTGACCCAAGGCCGCATGGTCGTAAAGAGGGCTTGGATCCCATCTGTGGGAACTTACTTAGTCGGTGCCTCGAATGAGCCTCTCAACCCCCACGATGGTGAGCTGAGCTTGATGGCTGAGCCTCCGGTCAAACTGGGTGGGAAGGAAGCAGGTGATGTAGCATCGCCAGATGAGCTGTTGAAAGACAATGATGAACTAAAGGCCTTCCTCGACGTCACTGCCATGGCCAACCTGGCCCATCTCCACCAAAGTGCCACCGAGGGATGGCAGGCTCGCGGCGAACCCACCGACATTGCCATTCAGGTCTTCGCCTCTCGATTCAACTGGGGCCTGGATCGATGGACCAAGGGCGACAAGCCGGTCTGGCAACAGCAGGCCGAATATCCATTCGACTCAAGCGTGAAGAAAATGTCTGTTATTTTCTCAAAGCGCGACGAGAACTCAGAGAAGAGTCGTGAGATGATCTTCACCAAGGGCGCTGTCGAACGTGTCCTCGAGGCGTGCACCACTATCAAATGGAAGCCTGATTCCGACCCTGTTCCTATCAACGACGAAATCCGCGAGGAAATCTTGCAGAACATGGAGGCCTTGGCTAAAGAGGGCCTCCGTGTGCTCGCTATGGCCGGCCGCGAGAACACCTCTCCCGCAAAAGAAGGCGGCGACCCTCTACCTCGCGAGGAGGTCGAGAAAGACTTGTCTTTATACGGATTGATCGGTCTCTATGATCCCCCTCGCCCGGAGACGGCTGGCGCTATTGCCCAGTGCTACAAGGCTGGAATCTCCGTGCATATGGTTACTGGTGATCATCCCGGTACTGCGCGTGCGATCGCAGCACAAGTCGGAATCATCCCTGCGAATATGGATATGATCGCCAAGGACGTTGCTGATGCTATGGTCATGACGGCTTCCCAGTTTGACAAATTGACCGAAGAGGAGATTGATGAACTTCCCACCCTTCCATTGGTTATTGCTCGCTGTGCGCCTAATACGAAAGTCCGCATGATTGATGCTTTGCATCGTCGTGGGCGTTTTGTGGCTATGACCGGTGACGGAGTCAACGACTCTCCCTCGCTCAAGCGGGCTGATGTCGGTATTGCCATGGGTCAGAATGGCTCTGATGTGGCCAAGGATGCTTCCGAACTCGTGTTGTCCGATGACAACTTTGCTTCCATTATTAACGGTATCGAGGAAGGCCGTCGCATTTTCGATAACATCCAGAAATTCGTTCTGCATCTTTTGGCGGAAAATGTTGCTTTGGCTATAACCCTACTTATTGGATTGGCCTTCAAAGACGACAGTAACCAATCTGTCTTCCCCATTTCCCCTGTCGAGATCATCTGGATTATTATGATTACCTCTGGTCTTCCTGATATGGGCCTGGGAATGGAGACCGCCGCTCCAGAAGTGATGGACCGGCCACCGCAAAGCGTACGTTCCTCCAAATTCCTTCCCTAATAATTCAACTTACTAACAAACCACAGAAACAAGGTATCTTCACGTGGGAAATCATCATCGATACCCTCGTCTACGGAGTCTGGATGGCCGGCCTCTGTCTGTCAGCATTTTCTCTCGTTATGTTCAAGTGGGGAGACGGCAATCTCGCCATGGGCTGCAACACAGAATACAACAACCCCAACAAACCCTACAACTGCGAGACTGTTTTCCGCGCCCGCGCCACTACCTTCACGTGCATGACCTGGTTCGCGCTCTTCCTCGCCTGGGAGATGATGCACTTGCGTCGCAGCTTCTTCCAGATGCAGCCCAACTCAAAGAGACCCTATACTCAATGGATGCATGATATCTGGCGCAACAAGGTCCTCTTCTTTGGTATCATGACTGGCTTCGTTCTTGCGTTCCCTATTATCTACATTCCCGTTATCAACCACAGTGTCTTCATGCATAGCAGTATCACCTGGGAATGGGGTATTGTCTTTGTTGAGACCGTGCTTTTCTTCCTCGGCATTGAGAGCTGGAAGTGGTGCAAGCGTGTTTACTTCCGTCGCCAGGACCGCAAGGCTGCGGCTCGGGGTGATCTACCGGGTAGTGAGCATCGCGCCCTGAGAGATTTCAGTCGCTATACTACTATGGACCGCTCGGATACTCAGGGTAGTGAGCAAAAGGTGGAGCAATCTATGGTCTAGGTGGTCTAGATTTTAATGAGCATTTATCCTATAGCGTGCGTCTGTTTATGTGATTTGAGATACTCTACTGCATTTGTTACAGATTAATTGTTCATTAGACATATACCACCAGCTTTATTTTGAAATTCACGAATCTTATTTAAAGACAGCTCTATTCGTGTAAATCTCCGAAATTGGGTGAAAATTGCTATGGATACCGATATTTTTCCAGACACAGTCCAGGGTGGTATTTCCCCCAACGGCAGCGTGGGAAGGCTATGCCGATTGAAAGCTACCCCAAAGATCAGCGGTTAAAGTCTGAGCTATTTCTTCATGGCCCAAGGCCCGAACTGGACTCTCAGTGGCTTGTCGGCTCTTCAAGGGCTTTTCCCCTTCTCTTATTCGTGCTCGGAAGCAGCAGTTCTGCCCAGGTGCCTCCATTGTGCTCGGATTAGGATCTCGTGACTGACTATATACTACCTAGTGAAATGAGTTGGATGGCCCTCAAGAGTACAATAAATGGGTACCAGAGGATGCAATGGCGAACGCTCCAAGGATCATTACTAGCAGATTGAACCCCCAAGGCGCAACTAATATAGAATAAAATAAAAGATCGATCCTTTATCCAGATTACATGCAAGTCACACATTACAGAATTGACCCATACTTTTGAACAAAGTTCGTAGGTTAACAAATGCCTTCAAGTAACCAGATAACTAGGTATTATTTTATAATCTGACTCGACAGATGACAGTAAGATATATATGCAATATGGGAATCTAAATACAATGGGTCCAATAGAAATCTGCCTGAAGTTGAACTCCTAAGTTTTACCAGTAGACAATCCCTATGGAGATGCAAATCAAAGTACCTCATACTTTTATAATTTCGACGCATTTCTGTGACTTTGATCAAGCCAAGATTGAATCATCTGCGTCAAACCATCGATTTCTGCCTCGGTGTTTCCCGCATGTAAACACACTCGCACCCGCTCCTTTCCCTCGGGAATTGTCGGCGGCATGATCGCTCGAACAATGAATCCATTTTCCTGACAGAGACTTGCCAGCTGTCGTGGCTGCAATGTGCGCAGGGAGATAATGGGAGATGTGGGGAAATGGTCGACTTCGAACATGACTGATTGGTATGTATGGAGGCCATCAAGCCGTTGTCGGAGATGGCGGATCAACTCCTGAAGCCGGCGTTGTAACTGTGATATGGTTAGCTGTTGGTTGCTAAAGTCAAGAAGTCAGGATCGACTCACTGATTCAGTTGCACCAGATGACAGGAGCTCATATGATGCGCGAATTGAGGCCAGGAATGGAAATCCCAGAGCGGTAGTATAGATCAAACTACGGGCATAGTTGATCAGGTAATCCCTTGTTTCTGGTCCACAGAGAACCATGGCTGGGGAAAGGTCAGTTGAGTATTCCAAGGGACGATCAAATAGACAAGACAGCATACCTCCATGACTCGCTAGTGCCTTGCCGAATGTGTGCACTCGGATGAACATGCGATCTTGAACGCCAAGCTCTTGAACCACACCAGCACCTCTTGGCCCAAATACACCAGTCGCATGCGCTTCGTCCACATAGAAATATCCATTACCGTGAGGTAGCAGCTCATCAACAACCGCGATAAACTCCTTGATGGGGGCAACATCACCATCCATGCTGTAGATGGATTCAATAAGGACGAATACATTGCGCGTGCCTTCTGCAATTGCTGGATCTTCAGCCATCTGTGACTGCAGTGCCTCTCTCAGGCCAATTGGCGAACTGTGGGCAAACATCTTCCGAGCACCGGCCCGCGACAGACGCATGCCCTCGTGGGCACTGGCGTGGATGAGCTCATCGTACAAAATCACATCGCCTGGCTGAGGAAGGCTGGATAATACGCCGACATTGGCGTCGTATCCGGAGTTGAATAAAAGTGCTGTTGGGGCTTGATGGAATGTCGCAACAAAGTTCTCGAGCTCTTCCGCGTAGGCCGAATTCCCGTCTAATAGCCGAGAACCCCCGCTGGCAAGGGGAAATGATGGCGGCGTGTTGTTCAAAAGTGCTAGAAAGCGCTCTCGGTATGCAGAAGATGTTGACAGTGACAGGAAGTCATTGGAGGAGAAATCCACTGCTGTTCGGGGTAAAACGGTCAGCCTCCGACGGGCAGATTTGGCTTCCCGGTGCGATAATGCGGCGGATAGGGAGTCAACGAGGGTATTGGGCGCAGCTGTCCCCGATGTCTCCGATGGAGTAGCAGTCATCTCAGCTTTCGTGATCAATTGATGTCAATTGATGTCAATTCCCCTATTCCGGTTCCTGTTCCTGACGGGTTATCCACGTTATCCAAAGGTCCACTTTATTTTTAGTTTCGAATATTGTTGAGATTGAGCAGATCTTTCTATTCCCCCAAAGCCAAGAGTTCTGAAGTTGATCTGAAGTCGTTGAGAAACCCAACAGGGAGAATCTGGTGAAATGCAGAAATGTGGAGATTTTGGCGTGGAGTGGGAAACTCAACTTGTCCCGAGGTCCTTTTTGGACTTCATCGTGACTCACTTCATTTCATCACATCATGCCTCCGGTCGGCGCAGCGCTCTGGCGCAGTTTACGAGCCCATCAAGTCTACGGAGCTAACACGGACGTGGGGAAGACAATCATCTCCACTGTGTTGTGTAATGCCGTTCAACGCCAGAAACAGCAGGCCGCATTCCTCAAGCCCGTGTCAACAGGGGCATTGGATGATGCCGACGATCGGTAGGCAACCTTTGAATTCAATTTTAATTTAATTCCATTCAATCGCTGACGGTCGCAGGCACTTGAAACGTTACGGTGCTGGGACGCTCACCAAATGTCTCTATCAATTCGATGACCCAGTCAGCCCGCATTTGGCAGCAAAGGATAAATTCGTAAGTGCCCATTGTCCTAATTAGAAGAACACAAAGCTCATCGCGCAGGTTCCGCAAGACGATGATCTCCTCGCCTCCATACATAACACGCTGTCCGGCTGGGCGCGGTCGGAAATTGACTTCGCCCTTGTTGAGACTGCCGGGGGCGTGCATTCCCCTGGCCCCAATGGCAATTCACAGGCAGATTTGTATCGACCACTACGTCTGCCAATTGTGCTAGTGGCAGACTCTCGTCTAGGGGGAATCTCTTCTTCGATCTCTGCCTACGAGTCATTGCTCCTCCGTGGCTATGATGTCTCATCAGTTCTCTTGTTCCGAGATGAGTACTACCAAAACCACGAATATCTGCGTGATTACTTCCAGAAAAAGAGCATTCCATTGGTGTCGCTACCAGCACCTCCAGCCCGGCCATCGCAGCTGGATGCCGACTCCCAATTAAGGGACGAGGAGGCCATGTTCAGCTATTACCAAAAATCCGCAAAGGAATCCGAGATCCTCCGACTGCTTGAAGACATGTCCGTCAACAATACCGAGCGCATCCAGCGTCTCGAAGAGATGGCCGACCGCGCGAAAGAGCTGATATGGTACCCCTTTACCCAGCACCAAGGCATGAAGGCCAAGGACATTACCGTCATCGACTCAGCGTATGATGACTACTTCCAAACATTCGGCTCCAGCACATCCAAAGATACCCAAAGCGAACTGCGCCCGACATTCGACGGATCTGCGTCCTGGTGGACGCAAGGCTTGGGCCACGGTAACCCCGACTTGTCACTATCTGCTGCCTATGCTGCCGGTCGGTATGGACATGTCATGTTCGCAGGGGCCGTCCATGAGCCAGCACTGGCGCTTGCAGATAATCTGCTGAAAACCATCGAAAATCCGAGACTTACCAAGGTTTTCTACACAGACAATGGAAGCACGGGGATGGAAGTTGCTGTGAAGATGGGTCTACGCGCTTCTTGCGACCGGTACGGCTGGGATGCCAGCCAGGAGCAGATTGGTATTCTTGGACTCAAGGGTAGCTACCACGGTGATACCATTGGTGTGATGGACTGCTCGGAGCCTTCAACTTACAATAAGAAGGTTGAGTGGTACCGTGGTCGTGGCCACTGGTTCGATTTCCCTCTTGTTAAGATGGTTGGCGGATCTTGGAAAGTTGAGATCCCCGGTGAGCTGCAGGCAGAACTCGGCGAGGATGTTGATTTCGCTTCATTGGGGTCGGTCTTTGATCTCAGCGAGCGTCTTGAGTCTGCCGCTGCCCAGCGTTACAAGGACTACATCCGTCGCACTATTGAGGATCTGGTCCAGCGCCAAGGAGTGAAGTTTGGAGCATTGATCTTGGAACCTGTCATCCTCGGTGCGGGTGGAATGCTTTTCTGGTAAGAATCCAGTAGTACAATCGTTCATTCACAGATAAACTAACCATCTTCTAGTGATCCCCTCTTCCAGAGATGCCTGACTGATGTGGTCCGCGACCACCCAGAGCTATTCTCCACCAACGCTCCTGCTCCCAAACAATCTCCGTCGTGGTCAGGCCTGCCAGTCATCTTCGACGAAGTCTTCACTGGACTGTACCGTCTCGGTCGCCGGACATCTGCATCATTCTTGGGTGTGCACCCCGACGTCGCCGTGAATGCCAAACTCCTCACAGGTGGACTGGTACCGCTCTGCACAACTGTTGCCAGCGAGGAAATTTTCGATGCTTTCTCGAGCCCAGAAAAGAGCGATGCCCTCCTCCATGGCCACAGTTACACCGCCCATGCAGTTGGATGCACGGTCGCTGTGGACTCCTTGAAGAGCATGGCTAAGCTTGATACTGATGGATCGTGGGATGCATACCGCGCTGACTGGCGTAGCAGCTCGCCTGCTGCCGTTGAAGCTTCAACTCCTGATGTGTGGAGTGTCTGGTCACATGGTCTGCTTCAGGACTTGTCTTCCACGAACTCCGTGGAGAGCGTGTTTGCCATTGGAACTGTGCTTAGTATTTCACTCCGTGATGCAGCTGGTGGAGGTATGTTCCTGGGACCTAAAAATCATGCGACGGTGAAAACTAATAATCTCGCAGGCTACACCTCCAATGTCGCAAAGGGACTGCAGCAAAAGCTGGCTGTTGGCGGTGATCAGTTCAACGTTCACTCGCGCGTCCTCGGCAATGTTCTTTACCTGATGTCCAGTGTCACTTCCAAACCCGAGTCGCTCCAGGAGATGGAGCGTCTCCTCCGATCGGCATTGGTGTAGGGAAGTTAAGATAAGCATACTTATATACGAACATGACAATTGAACATTTCAGCGCATCGTCTTGTACACAGCATCTGCAGCAATCATTAGCAAATCTCATTTTCAAAGCAGATCAAGCCTGCATCGCTAAGAAATCTTCGCTGGAACCAAAACGCCTGCTCAAACCTGGGTGATAGATAGAATGGAGGAATAATGTATCCCAGAAAGGATAGTGCAAGATCTCCGATATGGAACTATGGATTACAGAGAGAATAATATATGGCAATGTGGATGACAGACACAGGTGAACCAGGGGGGATCTGGGCATGGCGGCAAACGGTGCTTGCCTCTAGCATTCTATGATGGCCTGCATATCTGAGCCAGTCCAGGGTATGCAGCCCTAATTGAACTGAGTTTTCTGCACCGGCCCGACCGGTGTAATGCATGGTGCAGGACTCGGCTTCTTCTCATACCAACGCCGCGGAAATCGTATACTGCCCTAAATACCATCCACGATACGCTACACTTATATTGATTGATCGTCAGCAAAATATTTTAAATCACCTTTACAGAAAAAAGCGAGCTCAGAAAATGACGACAGTGGCCTCTCCAGACGGAATCTCACTCAACGCCCATTCACCTCGACTAGTCGACCAAACCCTCCTAAGTCTATGATATTATATACTGTGGCCCCATAGCATCCAGAGACACCATTGACATCCCCATAATACAATATTGTATGGGCCTCGTGGCCCCAGAACCGATCCACCTTTACGGGCCATGACGCTGTCTTCCTGAGTTAGAGTAGAATCTCAATGGTGTGACAACCATTGCTATCCCGCCGAAACGAGATACGGGTATGCTATCCTCCTATGAACAGTTATTGCATGCACGGATGATTCCGGCGCCTGGTCCATGGATTGTCTTGTTGGGTGGCATGCTCCGTATATGCTAAGGAGTTTGCGGAACAGTGTGGCAAGATCAACACTTTCATTAACCATATTACATCAGAGACTCCATAACTGCAAAAGGTGGAGTGCTTTTGTTGAGTGCGGAGAATTACATATTCGCGCATTGAAAGTCTAAGCGAAATGCTTGCAACCCCGGGGGAAGTTTGGAGATGCAGGGGCCATGTGGAGGGAGTACGATACTACCATGCGATATGGTTTCCTAATTAGGAAGAGATGACATAATGATAGCCCTATTGGTGGCCAAGGACTGTTAAGGAATCCGAGACCCGAACAACACGTCGGTGAGTGCCTATCAGAGTAAGACATGGCCATTATTAACCTTCGGATGTGCGGCTTGAAAGATTAGCCGAACCATAAATGTCTGCCCAGACGGAATTGGCAAGGCTTGGCTAAAACTAATTTTTTTTGGTGGCAAAAGCCCTGAAGAGCTTTACTTCAATTGGACCCATAGTCTTTATACTGGAATTTGGCCACTGGATCCAAACTTTGATTTGCCATCTCTCAGGTACAATCTACTGTATGGAGTATGTATGTACATAGTATCGCATATATTGTAAATAGTCTATCCATTTGCATAATTGAATTAATTTGCATAGACCGAGTGCACATCTTGGCATTTAGTAACAGTTTTGAAGCCATTGAGCGTGATTGGTTTAGTGTCGGAATAAGCGGCTACCCACGGCCAGCCACGCGAGTCCGGTAATTCTTGTTAGATAATAGAATTCCGAGCCGAGACCATGATTGGTTATTAACCCGGGTAGCGGGTCAGGGCAACTCCACTTCCATATCCAGAAGTGGATCCATCGACGCTTAATTCCTGTGGATAATCGCAACTCGGTATCAAAGCTTTTTTCCCTTTGGCCTGAATATTAATTCACATAATGTAAATAGGCAATAGAAATTCAATTGCCACCATGATAAGGATCTTCCAGAAGATCCGGGCCCCAGAATTCTACGCCCCAACTCTCCATACAAGGTAAGCCGGGGTTGTCTCGGTTGACGTTGAGGAAAGATCCACTGGGTGAATTTTCTTTGCACACAAGGCTTCCTTCTCTTTTCTTCCTTATATTCCCGACTTGACTCCTCCCTTGTCTACACACGTCGACATCATGATTCTCGATGGAGTGACACCCTACCAGGAGCCGATTGACTCGGAGTCGGGATATAATGAAAAGAAGATGTTGGGGGATCAGAAGCCCCAGTATCAGGATGCCTTTGGAGATGAGGAGGGTGCCGATGTGAAGTATAAAACTATGAAGTGGTGGTAAGTGCATGCAAACCAACAACCTTCTCATGATCATGGGCTAATTCTGTAATAGGCAAACGGGAATGTGTAAGTGCTAGCACGCGCACTGTTATGAACCAATTCTGACCGTTCTATCTAGTCATGATCGCCGAATCCGTCTCTCTGGGGGTGTTGTCCCTGCCCAAGACCCTCGCCCAGCTAGGCCTAGCCCCAGCTCTCGTCCTCATCATCGGACTAGGAATCCTCGCTACCTATACCGGATACACAATCCACCAATTCCGTGCCCGGTACCCCCACATCCAGAATTTGGCCGACGCGGGCGAGATCTTGTTCGGTGCTTTTGGACGCGAACTGTTCGGCATCGGCCAGCTGCTCTTCTCGATTTTCATTATGGGTAGTCACATCTTGACTTTCAGTGTCATGATGAACACCGTTACCGAGCACGGAACTTGCACAATGGTATTCACCGCTGTTGGTTTCGTCATCTGTTTCGTCTGCTCTCTGCCCCGTACGATGAAGAACATGACCTATATCTCGTGCATGTGTATGTACAACCGAATTCGGTCGGAGCTCGGGATTCATCGCTAATTATCATTTACAGCCTTTGCCAGTATCGTCACTGCTGTCATTATCACCATGGTCGCAGTCGGTGTTCAGAACCAGGGTGGTCAGAACCTCAAGGCTACGATCGACACCGATTTGTTCCAGGCCTTCAGCGCTGTCACCAACATCGTGTTTGCCTACTGCGCCCACGTGGCTTTCTTCGGTCTGCTCGCTGAGATGGAGGAACCCAGGGATTTCCCCAAGGCTCTGATCTTGCTGCAGACTTTCGAGATTTGCTTCTACACCGTTGCTGCCGTGGTGATCTACTACTACGTTGGCCAGGAGGTCACCTCTCCCGCTCTTGGATCGGCTGGTCCTATTCTGAAGAAGGTCGCTTACGGAATTGCCATCCCAACTGTACGTTTTTCCCTTCACTTATTCTATCCCATATTCGGCTGCTGACATTCTCACAGATTATTGGTGCGGGTGTCGTTAACGGCCACATCGGTCTTAAGTACATCTACGTCCGCCTGTTCCGTGGCACTGACCGCATGCACAAGCGTGACTGGGTCGCTATTGGCTCCTGGGTTGGAATTGCTTTCACTTGCTGGGTTATTGCCTGGATCATTGCGGATGCCGTTCCTGTCTTCAGTGATCTGCTGAGTCTGATTAGTTCGCTGTTCGCTAGTTGGTTCAGTTACGGTCTTGGTGGTGTGTACTGGTTGCACATTAATAAGGGCAAGTGGTTCTCTTCTCCTCGGAAGATTGCACTCACTATTGTGAATGTGTGCATTATTCTGATTGGTGGTTGCATGTGTGGTCTTGGCCTTTACGTTTCCGGCAAGGCTATTCATGACAACGCCTCCAACAACAGCTTCTCTTGCGCTAGCAATGCCGAGGTTTAAGCTTGTTGTTTGTGTATAAAATGTTTCAATATACACTTTCCACGGTTGTTGCTAGGCGATATAATTTGATTTGGTTATAGATTTCTATATATGTACCGGATAATGCCTGGCACTCTAGACCTTTCCTTTTCCGCTTTAGTGCTCACCCCTTGCCGCTTTTTGATCACTAAATGGTGTCTCGACTCTCAGCGGTCGGGGGAGTAGGTCATGGGAATGGCGTAAGAATTCCACGAAAGTGGTCGGTCGGCTGCGCTCTTGGAGTTGCTCCCGTTTGTATACAGTCGAAGCATATTATCTGCCAATCTTATCAACACGTGATACCAGCTCCTTGTCCACTTATCTGCGACATAAACAACCCATCTCCTAGAAAATGGGCATAAATTTCGCATACAGACTTTTACAGATTCAACTATCCGGCATCCACTCAGGGGCTGTGATATAAGGTCATTTAATCCAGAGGAGTTTGCAGAAAAGTACGTGGAGTTGATGAAAGCGATAATACTCTAGTATTCTATGATTACGATCAAGAGTACGACGAGCCACCATGGAGAATAGGGGAAGGGGAAGGGGAAAATGGTCGACCAGAATCTCTACCAACAGCATCAAATCCTACTATCAATTCTCCACCAACAATGGTCGCAAAATTACGGAAGGATATCACCAAGCTGAGGAAAGGTTTCCCCAGTTAGACTCTCTCCCGATATGGCCATATTATAGCGTCGTGTTAAGGTAATTTTTGAGGGTAGCATTGCGCAAGCGACACTAGCGGCACAGCAGTCCACTGACATTAGGCGTATACTCACCAACCAGAGAGAGGCCAATTCACCTAAAACTAATCGACAGGTAGGTAAAGGTTGTGTTATTCGTGTTGGGGATTCCAATACCGTAATACAGTTGCGGGATATTGCAGACGCTGAGAAAGAAAGCTGGAGATAGAAACGGGAGGCTAAACAGAAGTGGGTTGAAATTGATCGCCAAGAGCAAATTAAGATGCAGGAAAATGGAAAAAAAAGAAGAGAGCGAGAGAGCTTAATTGGGTGACTGGAGAAGATGGCCAGCCAGATTATTGTATAGATAAACAAGGGAAAGTGCTGTGAATAGCATCAAATCTCTAAGGGTGATCAAATATTCATAAAGACGGGCAGGATCCAATAGGGCTGCTGTTGGGGGTTCGACTTAGGGTTGAGTATAGTTAGGCCTGCGGAATCTGATCCTCGGGAGTCCTCCTTGGTCCAATGCTTCTTTCACCCTAACTGCGAGAACCGGTCGGACTTCAATAGACGAGCCCAGATCCTCTGTCTGTCTCTACTCGTGTGAGGACATTTTCCTTTGCGTGCCGGCGTTTTTTCTGAGGTGTGCTGGGTTGGGTTCCGGCTTGCACAGCTTGATCAGTGTTATAGTTCAGAGGAATGATTGTTCTTTTTTTTTTTCCAGTGAAGGAATACATGAAGCTATATATACAAGATGAAGTCTGGAAATCAACTCGGTTCTTCGTATATACAGTGCAATGATTATTTTCGATGCTGCGGCTTCATTCCTAGGCAGCACGCCTCATATCACAACACAGCTCATCCGTCTTTAACAGCATATCTGGTTGGCCCTAAGTCCCAAACCCCATTCCCCTTTTCTTGCGCCTGTTTGAGCCTCTTTGCGTCGTTTCACCGCCCCTTGAAACATATAATTAATCCCACGGGGTGGGTTGAGCCCGCTTACTGTCCGTCGACATTCTAGAAACTGAATTTTCGAAGTACTCATCATTCCAGCGAAGCCGAATTAAACTGTGCGATACATTCCAAAGTATAAATCCAGAAAAGTCCATTTCAGGAAAGTGTCATGGAGGGAAGGCGATAACCAGACGAAAATTGAGGTCTACTGTGGGCTAGAATACATCACTCGACCAAAACCAAAGTTGGTTAGTGGTGGCAGATTGATATTCCCGAGCCACTGTTAGTTACCAGCCACTCAACCTTGCAAAACCCCTTAGATGAACGAAACTAGACAAGCCAATATGCTATATCAGTCAAAGATTGCAATTTCAGAATAAGAAGAACCTCTCTCATTTTTGCCTTTAGAAAAGTTCATAAGAAGGCAGAGATGGTCCATATATAGCTACAGAGAGAAAGAAAAAGATTGAAGAGCAAATACGATGCTGACATTAGAAAGCCAGACAACAAGCGAGGGTGGTCGTTTGCCTAATTGATGCATTACTGATAGAAAACGTCTATGTTTGCATTAGTTAAGAGACAAATGTCCTTTCAAAGTTGAAAACACTGATCTATACATATATGCACTCTTGAAGGGATCGTCCCCACGTAAGGTAGTAAATTGAAACAGTCAATGAGTATTGCAGATTTGAAGGAAATTCAAAGAAGCACAGTCAAAATAATTGAAGTTCACCAATCTATATACCCCAAGGACAAGAATGTTAGATGGTGAGAAAAAATGTTTTCTCTTGCCAAGTCCCACTCCTAGCAAAGCTCCCACTGTTCGCCACTTTCACTGTCACGATCCACAACCCGAAGAAAATAAACAGGGTCTTTATCCTCCCCACCCGGATAAGACACATTCACAGCAATTTTCCCATTCAGCAAATCGTCCAGAGTCATCTCAAGTTTCTGAGATGGAGTACCTTTGTAGTGCAGCCACTCCTCATCCATGGACTCCTTGAAGAAGACACCTCTTTTGTTCTCTTCAGGCAAAGGAATAATATGGATGTAGTCCGAGTTCACCATGAGGAGCTCGTTCTTTCTTTCTCTTCCTTTGATCTGAATTCGAAACTTGGCTCGATGGGTTGTGGATGATACGATGGGACTGTTGTCGCGGTTGTCCAAGGCCCAAAACCGCTCGGGCACGCGCTTGTTGCGAATGCAGAAGGTTTTACCTTCAATGTGGTCGGTCAAATCGAGGTGCGGCAAAATTGGGAAAGGAGAATAAGATTCATTCCATTGAAACAGTTTTTTGTAATGAACCTTCCCTTGGATGTTCTTGGCCTCCTGCTTGCTAGAGATGGATGCACGTCCCTCATTCAAGTAATCAATGGCCCAGGTGAGGGACTCGTTGTCATCACCACACCAGGTAAACATCTGAGGGGAGTGATGGATCAGGCTGTCGACCTTGGCTTTGCTCCCCCAATCTTTGGTTTCTTGTAGAAGCCGGAAAAACTGGTCTACAGTCGACCGATCTGGTGTTATGATAAGGTGCCGGATATCACGTCCATTGTTAGATCCGCTCCAACTGCTATGTGCATGCTCGGACCAGCGGAAGGCGACGGTGTAGAAAGGCATGATGGCAGGTGTGACTTGGTTTCAATGGAATAAGATGGTCAAGCGTAGATAAATAATTTGCTATATATTTTATCTTTATAATGCTGGCGTCACTGATCTAATGCAACAATCCCAGAATGTGTGACGTATTTGATGATACGATGGAAACAAGTGAGATCAGAGATCCGCACACTCTTTGGCGCCTATACCGCTGGGTAGTGTGGGTTGGAACAAATTCAAGGAAATAAAAGATAGAGTTATGCAGATCTATAACAGTACCACTTTTTAAAGCTGAAAGCAGCAAGGTCGTACTATTAATCTATTTGGAATTGCATATCCATGGATAATGCTGAATTTCAGAAAATGCTTTGGTGGATCGCCTGACGAAAGTGACATATCAAAGTATGATGACAAGGAGAAGACAGCTCTGCTATAAAATATCGTCATTTAGACATTCAACCTTTAATATATCGCTCATAAGTTGCATGGTACCCTTTCCGCGTTATCCGACGGAATCTGCGTTATACATGTGATGTCCTCAGAGTCCTATAGGACTACTAGGGTTATAGGACTAGAATTCTTTTAGTCCTATAGGAGTTCTCAAGGCCTAAATAAGCTCGTATTCTAACTAGGCCTTGACAAGTCCCGTAGCACTAGGCCTTTAGTTCGGTGCTATAGCACTAAGGCTTAGCAGCACCAGACACTTAGTTCGGTGCTATAGTGCTATAGCGGGAGTGCTATTGAGCCTGCTCAGCCTGTTCTCGGTCGCGCCCCCCCGCCCCCAGAAGCTTCTCAGCGACCGTCACCGCCACGCACTGCGTCACCCACCACCTACGAAATGCTAGCGCTTACTTCAGTGCCGTATGTCGGCAGACCAATGTGCGCTCCTGGTTAGACAAGGAATCGCGGCGTCCCTCCAGCACTGTATACCTCGTTTGTGGAATCAAAATACTGATCGACGCCCAGGTGGATCTGGACCGCCACTGCGCCCCCACAATATACCGCCCAACTGATTGGCTGGTTTGTAAGCTCCCGTGCACGAGCCAACTACCACCGATCAGGGCAAGTCTCTCAACTGGTGTGATAGATCCAATGTTAGGTGTAGATAAGTTGCGGTACAAATATCGAATCAATCACACTGAAAGACGCTCTACTAGTCCCAATCGGCGGTGCCTTTCGTCGAATTGCCCAGGTGCGCTTTGCCCAGGTGTTTGACACAGCCCCAGAATATGGACTACGCCACGTCGGACTGCGCTGTCCAGCTGCCTAATGGCGCGCTTGTGCGGGGCTAAACACCCGCGGAACTCAGCCTCCTCAACGCCGTATTCATCGGCGCTTTGGTTCTTCCTTTGGTCATTTTTTAAGTCCAGTATAACGATCCTAAGCTCTTACAGCACCAGTTGTAAACAAAGCAATGTCTGATCATCGCTCCAGAAGGTCAAAAATCCGTTGCTTGTTCCGCCGTGACGGTAAAGACAAGGGAGGAGCCAAACAACCCGACATCCTCGCAATCCACGGTTCCCGTGCGGGCCGTTCCAGCGGTACGACGTTGCGAATCATGGACTTGCGAATCTGCCACTCAACCTTGACGGCTAATATGTTGTAGTTGATAACCAACTATCGACGGCACCTGAAGGCAATAATGAGACTGTTTCAGCGTCCCCTGCCCAGCCAATACCCGAACCTGTTTCTCAGGTCCAAGTGTCGCAGGAGCCTCCGGACAAGCAAGCACACGAACAATCGAGTCAGCGGAAGCCATATGCCGAGAACTATGACATGTGGAAGGAAGCTCTCAATTCCTTGGGAGAGGAGGAAAGATACAATGTGAATACTTTGCTGAAAGATTGGGACCACGACAGTCCCAAAAGGAAACATTTGGTAGAGGAGATCCAAAAGAGAATGGATGAGGCATTGAATAGTAAGCATCATGACAGAACGACGTCTATTGGCAAATTGTTGTCGGTATTGAACAATTTCCTTTCCGCCGGAGATGTTGCTGTCAGCTTTGACCCAACTCATGCTGCCCTGCCATGGGCCGCTGTTCGGTGTGTTATTGTGGTAAGCATATCATTTCGAGTTTGTTGTATTTCTATGATACGGAGCTCGGATTATACACTTGCTTGTGCGAGAAAGCTAAATAACACAGATGGTTACCGCACACAATGAGCTGAAAGGGGTCATCCTCACTGCAATGGCCGAGGTCACTTCGCTCCTCGTACGATGTGACATGTACCAGCTATTATACATGGCCCCAGATCCCGCTCTCCGCCTGCTCGATGACTTTTTGACCAGACTGAGAGCATGCATTGTTCAAACGTATGCTGCAGTGCAGTCATTCTTTGCTTTCGTGAATGACCAGCAGAGGAGTCTCAAGATTGTCGATGTTTTCAAGCTCGAAGATGCGCGAGCTCATATGGACAAGCTCTCTGGAACTCAAAAGCAGTTACTTCAAGCTGCAGACGACTGTGAGAAATCTTCTAATCGGTCAAATCGATCTGATCTGAAGGAGCTTCTTGACCTCTCATCAGAAATCCCGATTATTCGGCAGCAAGTGTAAGTAGCCTAGAACTTCCAGGGGAGACAATACTGATGATATCTAAAGGGATCTGGTTTTAGAACGAATCGACGCCAGGGAAGAGCGCGAGCTTCTAGAATGGATCTCGCCTATACCGTATGGAACGCATCATCGTGTTAGAGTAGAATCTCGCACTCCTGACACGTGTGAGTGGTTACTCCAGAACAAGGAATTTTGTGAATGGATGGACTACGGGTCATCGGCAATCCTGTGGCTCCGAGGCTCAAGTACGCTCTCAACTGTGGCCATTTCACATTTCCGCGACGCTAATTTTGTTAGTGGGGGCCGGGAAAACATACCTCACCTCGAAAGTTATCGACCATGTTCAGGGTCTGCTTGAAAGCTCATCAGACCATGCGGGCTTTGCGTTCTTCTACTGCAATCGAAATGAAGAGAATCGAAGAGATCCCCTCTGCATCCTCCAAAGCTATGTTCGCCAACTTTCAACCGCTGTTGGAAATACTCAACATATACGGAAAAGGCTCAAGAGCGTCACCGATCGAACAAGACGCCAAGGATCTCACTTGGGTTTCGAGGATTGCAAAATCCAACTGGCAGACTCAGTAAATGAGTATTCTGAGACTGTCATCGTTCTCGATGCCCTGGATGAATGTAATCAAGACTCGCGCTGGCAGCTCATCCATGTGATAAAGGACTTGGTATCCAACTCCGATCGCCCACTCAAGGTCTTCATCTCAAGTCGGCCATACGACGACGATATAAAAACGCAGATCTCTGGGAGGAATATAGAGATTGAGGCAATCGACAATCAAGGTGACATCGAGAAATTTGTCAATGCCGAAATGGAAAAGCCCAGGAGATGGGGCCCGATACCCGCAGACCTGCGGAGCAAGATCGTCCAGGTCCTCTGTGAAGACAGCCAGGGAATGTGAGTTCCGCTCGGTTGGAGATTGGCAATACTTAGCTCACAACAAGCAGGTTTCAGTGGGCATACCTACAGATCAAACAGGTGCTTGCATTGTCGACCAGAGCAGATATCGAGATCAAGCTTGGCAAACTTCCCAAAACGCTCGAAGAGGCATACAGGGAGATATACGGGGAAATTGCGAAATCTCCACGTAGAAAAGCCCTCGTGGACAGCGCGTGCAAATGGGTGATGAGTGCCTTCACACCTCTCAGCAGCGATCAGCTTTTGTCCGCAATTCACATTGATGTTGATGGGCATCCCGTCAGCTCTGATGACCAGCTCAACGAGTCAGAATTGTTGGATCGATGCAGCAACCTACTTGTTATCGACTCCCAAACCCATACTTGGAGGTTATCCCATCTATCGGTATGGGAATATTTTGAAGAAAGGAACCATTGGGGGCTTCAAGAAGTTCATTCACATGCTGCCAAAGCGTGTCTCCAGCTTTTGATTGAGATACACAAGAGCCCAGTCTATGAAAGCGGCATGGAAATTTCAGGTCATATGCACAACATTGGAACACCGAATAACTTGAACCTTGGTCATCCCTTGGAAGAATATGTGCGATATCATTGGATGATTCATGTGAGAACCTACGAACTGCAAATCACCGAAGAAGAAAAAAAGCAGACCCTTTGTTGGCAGATGTTTTAAAGAGATTTCTCGGTTCTCCCGGCAAAAGCAGTCTCCAATATCGCGCCTGGTTCTGTAGCCTCGACAACAGGCGACGGCGCAGCCCGGAGTCGAGTTTTTTTGGCATGGCCAGCAAGCAGGATATCTCTCCAGAGGATGTCACAATTTTCGTTATGTGTCGCTTTTCGCTCTACATCCTCTTACAGGACTGGTGGGACAACGCAGAGATCATGGTCTCACAAACGAATGATTGTGGAGACACCACCTTGCAGCTCGCTGCCCAAGCAGGTTGTAAACCTATATGTGAGGCTCTCATGAAGCGAGTGACTGCAACCCACTCCGTGTTGCCGGGAGATTTCTACGGCAGAGCTCTTGCTGCTGCTGCTGGCCGAGGATATCAAGAGATTGTCAAGATCCTGGTTCAGAATGGGGCCGACGTGAACATCCCGTTGCCAAGTGGCTGTTATGGTAGTGCCCTCGCTGCTGCTGCTGCTTATGGGAAAAACATGGAGATTTTCAAAATCCTTATTGAGAAAGGGGCTGATGTAAGCCTCCCTTTGTCGAGTGGGGACTATGGGAGTGCCCTTGCTGCTGCTGGCTATGGAGGAAATATGGAGATTGTCATGATTATCATCAACAATGGAGCCGACGTGAACCTCCTTTTGTCGAGCGGGAGATATGGGAGTGCTCTTGCTGCTGCTGCTTCTAGCGGAAATTCGGAGATTATCAAGACTCTTATTGAGAATGGAGCCGACGTGAACCTCCTTTTATCCAGTGGGGACTATGGGAGTGCTCTTGCTGCTGCTGCTTTTAACAGAAATTTGGAGATTGTCAAGATTCTTATTGAGAATAGGGCCGATGTGAACCTCCTTTTGTCGAGCGGGAAATATGGAAGTGCTCTTGCTGCTGCTGCTGCTTCCGATGCTTCTTTCTCTTTCACAAAAGATCCAGAAACTGTTAATATTCTTATTGCGAATGGGGCTGACGTGAACCTCAAGTTGTTGGTTGGGGAGTATGGGAGTGCCCTTGCTGCTGCCGCTGCCAATTTTGCTGTTTTCGCAGGACATACAAAAGTTCTTGAAGTCCTTATTGCAAACGGGGCTGACGTGAACCTCAAGTTGTTGGTTGGGAATTATGGGAGTGCCCTTGCTGCTGCTGCTTTTCATGCTGCTTTCGCAGGACATATAGAGTCTTTCACAGGACAAACAAAGTTTGTTGAATTCCTTATTGAGAATGGGGCTGATGTGAATCTCCTGCTGTCAAGTGGGATGTATGGGAGTGCCCTTGCTACTGTTGCTTTTGTTGGTGTTCTAAGAGGAGAAACAAAGACCCTTAAGATTCTTATCGAGAATGGGGCTGACGTGAACCTCCTTCTGTCGAGTGGGGATTTTGGGAGTGCCCTTGCTGCTGCTGCTGCTGCTTCTGCTATGTCTACAAAAGATTCAGAGATCATTAAGATACTTATTGAGAATGGGGCTGACGTGAACCTCAAATTGTTGGTTGGGGCGTATGGGGGGAGTGCCCTTGCTGCTGCTGCTTCTATTGCTACTCCTTTCACAAGAGGTACAGAAACTATCAAGATCCTTATTGAGAATGGGGCCGATGTGAATCTCACTTTGTCCAGTGGGGACAAAGGGAGTGCCCTCGTTGCTGCTATTGATGAAGGATTTCCGGAGATTGTCAAGTTTCTTATTGAGAATGGAGCCGACGTAAACCTCACGTTGCCGGATGGGAATTACAGGAGTGCCCTCGCTGCTGCTAATTCTAGAGGCTACGAAGATATTGAAAACATACTTGTTGATAATGGGGCTACTACGAATCTCGTTTTGTTCAATTGAACCTGAATAGGCACCCTCACCTGGGATTTGCATTGTCTATATACAAGTGCTACAAGCAGCAAGGGTTGTCTCGGAGGGACAGCCTCTAACAACTACATCTCAATTACCCTCTTATGACTTCTAAGCACTGATACTTCTAAGCACTGATCCCAGACCACTTGCAGCCTGTAGAGTCAAGAGCGTTATCGTTGATACGTAATATATATCCGTTCTTTGGGAACAGTGGCAGGAACCCCGCGGCGTTACTAGACTGCGACATCGCCCATGGACGGGCGGGTGGGCATTGCCCACGGGCCTTATGTAATCGGGAAATGGGCCCTACCCTTAGGGCCCACGGGCCGTGGGCGTCGTGGGCCCCCGTGGGCCTTTTTAGTAAGCAAAATTAGCGTAACACGTGATTTTTATTGATACATTTCAAAATATTTCAACTAAATTTGTATTTTTTACATATAAACAATCATAATTCCGGATTTAAAATAAGATATATATAAATATATATAGTATAATTTACTATATATCTGATTTTTATATATATTTAAGACAACTTTATATAACGTTGGGCATAGTGGGCATGCCCGTGGGCGGTGGGCGTTATAGACGGGCACTCGAAAATCTAAATAGCCCACCGCCCACCGTGACGGGCGATGTCGTAGTCTACGTCTCGATCTTAATAATCGTGGCGGTGACTTTTCGTGTTCGTCGCGGTCGGGCGATTCAGGGGTTCGCGTCTCGGCCCGTCCCGACATTTCTGATCCCTTACGTCGAGTAACAATGGGTTTTCACTCCCCGAAAAGTGTTACTCTGTATACAGACGCGCTTCTACTAATCTCTGAGCTCAGTTGGGAACAGTCGCTATTGGATCAATTAGCTTTACAGTGATCGCCACATGATACAGACGCGCTCGAAATCAGTTTCACATTTTTACTCTCTTCAATTCTTTCTTAAACCCTTTTTTGCATGACGCCATGCCTTTTATGGTAGGTTTACCCTGACACACATTCCTAGTAGTATCGTAGTACGGTAATAACTAATGCAAAAAACAACTTTCGTATTATAGGTGTATGGGCTATGGCCTTCCTACTTGTAGAATTCCTCACATGTAAACCGAAGATTCAAATCTAATATAAGCATATATCACAATATCGGATAATCAAGAAAGGGCTTATAAGATATGTAGCGAGCAGTTCTTATTCTAACGGCAATTTATATACTAATAACATCCACAATCGAGTGTGCCTCTCCCTAAGATTTGTTTTTATCTTTGAGTTTCTTCGCGACCCTTTTCTGTGCCTTCGCGCGGGCTTTCTTTTCATCCTTAAGCTTCTTCACAGCCTGCTGCTGTGCGTTCGTGCGGGCTTTATTTTCATTCTTGAGCTTCTTCGTAGCCTCCTGCTGCAACTTCGATTACTTGGAGACAAACCCGACGGATGAAATCGCTCTGGTGGTGGAGGTGAGAGTAGCGTAACTGTTTCACCCTGAGCCATGCGCTAAGCAAGGATGCGGAAGCACCATGTACATAGTTACTCCATTGTCGAGAGTTCTTTCTCAATTTCAAGCAATCTGCGTGTTTGGCGTCCATGAGCGGCCCCATTGGCAAATTTGTAATGTAGAGCTCCGCGAGATTATCGAGTCTGGCTGTCTAAAAAGATATGGCTAACATGACAGCCCTCTGGACATGGAGATCCGATTCACCTTCCGTTCAGTCAAGTGAGTGATAGATTCGCACACTCAGACTTCATCCAGTGTACCTGAATTTAGATGGAATGTTCCAGGAGGAAGCAAATCCTCGCCCTCGGAGGAGGATACATCAATATTGACACGAGGATCAACCATTGTTCCAGAATATAATAGAATCAACTTGGAAGGCAAGGGGATACACGGGTGAGATGAAGGGATATTTGAATTTCTTCCCCGGATTTCAGACTTCTCTCCGATTGGTCCACATGACGGACGTTGATATCGCTTTGCGCAACCATGACAGAGACACAGTACACAATCCTGATAAGGCAGCCAGCCCCGCAAGGATGGAGATGGCAGTTTATCTCGGCTTTGAAACTGAAGAGATTTCAGTGTCGATCCAATTGGGCGTTCCAGCGCCACTTCATTTTAGTCACTTTAAATTCGAGGGTCCGCCTTCCTAATTCGGCATACATCCTCCCCAGATAAGAGAGATGCTTGTGCTAGCATTTATTTTTAATCCTTGAACCTGCGAGAGTTACCATTCGTGCCCTATCGTGGCATCTGGTAATCTATTAGCGATTCCGAGATGGCGGAGACCTGGTTTTACAAGGAAGGTAGACGCTCCTTCGCTCCTTGACCCCTGGGTTTCGAATGGTCGCCAAGTGGAGGATGCCGATGAGATTAATATAGCAGCTTTCAAAGTTTCACTCGGCCCAATTTTAGGTGGAACCGCTCTTAGGAGGGGAAGCCTTACATTAATATCTGGCTGCACCCACTAAATAGAAACTATGGCGCTCGCTACTATTTACTGCCTAACATCCCTCTTTGAGCACCGAAGCAGACTTTCTCAGAGGCTATGTCAAAACAAAAGAAGACGGTCAATCTTTTCCCCGTTCAGAATGGTCTGTGGCCCCTTCACTGAGAATTCATTGTCTAGCAATCATTTCTTTTGGCTGACACGCAAACAACAAAGATCTATCGATATTGGCCGCCGCGCGAACAGTCACCACGGCCTTCTCATCTGATCCCCTGATAAAATGGCTTCGACCGAACGCGAAACCATGGGATTATCAAGACGCATTGACGCAGAGGTGGCAACATAGGAGGATTAAGAGTGTGATGTCAGAAGGCATTGTTCTTCAGTCAGCCAGTGTCGGTCAGATAGCTGAGGAATATCCTCGCAAGAACAAGAAGGCCGAGCCCTCAGATGGTGCTGCTGCACCTAGAAAGACAGCTCACGTGTCAGTTCCTGAAAATCCGGTTATTGCAACCAACCAGGGAGAGGCTGGTGCTGTGGTATTCTTATATCCTCCAAAGGAACATCGTCCGTGGTCGATCTCCTCGATGTGGTATTCTTGGAAAATGTGGCTTCTGGAACTATTCAACCCGGTCAAGGACACATTGTTCAAGGATGAGGTAAGAGCCCCAAGTTTCTCTGTTGGAGAAAATACTGTTGCTAATTGATACTTCTAAATAGCGAGTGAAAATGCTTATGTCGAGACACACGCCCGGTAAAAGGCACCTTCAGGCACGCTACTCCAAGCTATGGTATCTGGAAGTTATTGCTGTACACCCATCACTGCAGTCACGCGGACTGGGAGGTAGCGTGATGAGGGCTATTCTTGAGAAAGTTGGGGGAAATCCGATCTTCCTTGAGTGCACCCGGCAGGAGAATATCAGCTTCTATGAGGTGTTCGGTTTCAAACTAATAGAGGAAGTGGACCTCACGGACACCCCGGCGCATATAGAAGAAGATGGAAAACTCAAGTATTGGGTGATGGTACATGAGACAGATAGTACACAGTGAAGCTAGTCTTGCAATCTGGAATAATAATTAAAAACTCCGAACGCCCCCTTCCCAATCATATGAAATGTCAAACATAACATAGAATAGAACAGCAGGGACCAGATATGAATCCCTTGTCGAGGTATTCACAACAGCCCCATTTCAACGCCTCTTGCTCGGGCCAGGTCGTTTATATCAAGTGTAGAATCATCGAGGAGCCATAATTCTTGCAGAATTTCAAGAAGCATATCATCTTGACGTGTTCCCGAAGAGCATCTGCGAATGGCTTCCTGCCACTCCAGATTCTGACGCATGACATCAACTTCCAGTCCGGCAACAAAATTCGGGAAAATAATGGAATTGTTCAGATAATTCTCCTCCGGGCGCTCCAAGCACCCCAAGCGAAGAGCATCCACATTGGCCACAATGCGAGCTACGAGAATACTCGGGTCCGCCGGACACAACTCTGACCGCCTCCTCGTTGAATGGCTCTGAGGGCTACCCGATGATCTCCTTCTCTGGTGGATGGTAAGAATTCCCGCTAGTCGATATGCTTCCCATAGGTGGCACTGCGAAAAGGTTCCCGCTTCTCCCGCCCAGTCCCAGAAACTCTGCTCCGTTGTATCTGTATCAATCCCGGCGAGTAGGTTCAATAGAGAGCGCGGTAAACCAGTCACTGGCTCGATGCCGTGCCTCGGTCCTGTCGACTGACAGAAGCGGCGCCAAATACCAATAGGAGACGTCTGGCGCCCTATAGCGAAACAAGGTATGTCCATGACTCCCATGACCTCGAGGAGGTGCGTGCGAAATGGAGTGGCTGCTTCCATGCCAGTGGAATGCTCTGGACTACGGATTTGCAAGATGTTATACATGCCTTCTATGTGCATTGTCCACGGCAGTCCTTGCATCAGCTGTGCGAGTAGAGGATAGGTCAGCTGCTCAAGCTCACTCGGTGTTTGGAAATAGAAATACTTCAGGTCACTCACACCAATGCTACATAATAGAAGCCCCGCGGTCAGTGTTCCATCGGACAACGTTGTGGAGCGAGCTAGTTCGGATCTAAACTCTTGTAGTGAAGTATCGAAGTATTCGAAGAATTGAAGTGTGCGAATGGTAGATAAAGAGAGTTGTAAGGTAAGACAAATATCATACAAGGCATTGGACTCTTCACACAGTCCAGGAAGCCTAGGCTGTAGCATGCTCTCTGGTGCTGCGATCGATTGTAAAATGTTCATTCCATTGTTCAGGACTTGTAGATTTGCATTTCAGTATACCGTGAGATCACGTTGATTCGGCTCAAACTCACATTCATTGAAAAGAATCTCATCTTTCTCGGATCGCCTTATTGTGAGAGTAGCATCATTCTCCATTTGAGTTAACATATCATCGCACCCTGATGGCAACTGGTCAAATCTGTCACGAATGGCTACGGGTATCTTTGACATACCATTCTCCCTCTGGGTCTGAGCTTGAGCCTCGAGCCTCTTCCTCTCTCTGCTTAAATCTCTCCGTCTTCCCAATTGCCTCGGCGGTACATTCTCTTCCAAGGGCTTATCGGCACCAGTAAATCGACCACGCGACGCAACGCCGCTGCCCCAGCGCAGTCGTACCTCGTAGCCCTCACAGTCCACTCCACGCTTTGCACAGTTCCGGCATGTCGGGCGAGCATTATCGCAGCGACGCCGGCGGTGCTTGCAAGTCCAGCACCCTTGATGGCTGCGGGTCGACATACTGAACGCAGGTAGAAATCATTCGGGCACGATGGGTGGGCGAAATAGGCTAGGCGATATATGAAATGCGGGGGAGTGGGTCCGTTGGACAGTGACAGAAATTTGTCTGTAATCGTGCCAAGCGCCCAACACACCCTGTGTTGGGCGCTTGGCACGATTACAGCTTAATATGCTTTAATTATCCACTATCTAGTTATAATACCCCTGACAGTGTTAGCCAGTGACTAGTTAGATGTCAATATAGGCCTCGGCTAGAATCAGAGGTGGCTGACGGGCGTTGTGGACTAGACTGCCGACAACCGACCATGGCCGTTATTAGTCTTATATCAGGAAAACTCTTCAACTTGTTTTTGTTTTAAAACTGGCAATAACCATATAAGAAAGAGCAAGTGGAGGATATCAAGCCATGTTTCGTAAAAACACCTTTTTATAAAAAAAGCAAAACAAAGAAAAACGAAGTAAAATAAAAACAGAGGCGAAGCAACCGATCATCCGTCATGGATGGACTGGGACATGCCAGTGACGCCAAAGATTGAAACTAGCTCAGGGTTGAGGGACGTCACTCGCACTCCACCAAGGTCGTCAATCGCCTCGAAGTCCACAAGGGTCACCTTCCCACTTATGCGGTCGTAGAGGATATTGTGCCTTCCGGAATCTAACAGCCGAATGGAGATTGACCGGAGATTCCGAATGGCACTACTGCACTCACTGAACACATGGGCCTTCTCAGCAAACGACAGACTGTTCCAGATACCAAATAGTTGTTCTGCTGGAACCTTCTCCAGAAGAAGGATCTTGCCTTCGGGGAACTTTGCCGAGCAGATTATGTCACCGGAGAACACAAGGCGGGTGAAATATTCGAAGCCACTTGGTCGAAGCTCGTGTAGACTTTCGTACACTTCGAATTCATTAGAAGCGCTATGTTTTTAATGGTCTTAGTATTCTAGGACTCGCAGGTCATGGACAAGGCATACCTTTCACGGCGATCGTGGGACCAGCATTTCGCGATATAGCGGACGCCACCAGACTCCACCTCAAACACTGCCTTCTGATGTTCCAACCGAGGGGATGACAGGAGCTCAACGCAATTCACAATATGGCTTGCAACCCCGTCGGAGCCAATGAGCATGGACTCTGTTGTAATGGGAGGGATGGGCGAGTCTGTAGAGTCGCTTAGCCTACTGCGGTACGCAGATGCTCGAGGGGAAGAGACAAAACCGGGCTGTCGCGACGAGTGGAGCTGTTTTCTCTGATCAATATTTGCATACTCGATAGAAAAGGAGACTTACAAGTCTTGTATCAATTCTTGTATTTTCCTCGTAGACGGGGGCTGCAAACCCAGCGAAGCATTCTCTCAGAGAGGGATTGGTGGCGTCTTCGCTTATGGGCATCGACAAACGGAAGCAGAAATCATCTTCTCTCTTCATGAAAACTGCGGACTTGTATGTGGAGAGAAAAGAGTAACGCAGTTTGAATCTCCTCATGGAAGCGACAGCTTGGCCTATGGTTTGTTAGAAAAGCGATTTACACAAGCAGACTTTGAATGACGCACCGATAAAAGGTTCAAGGTATCTCCGCACGTCCAAATCAGACGTCACGGTTATCTCCTCAAGGTCGACGGTCCACCATGTCTTGAGTTCCCCGGCTGCAATGAGCCTAGCTGGGTTAGACCCAAGGATGGCCAAGGTGACATCAGGGATACTCAAGGGGTTCTGACAAATCGCCTGCATGTCTCCAAACTGCAATGGTAGATTTCACACGGACAAAGCTTTTGAGACAGCATCACATACGTGTCGCGAAAACCGAGTAGTCAGCCCTAGCTCACTACCGACAAAGTGTAAATCACCCCCGGGTGAATCTGTAACGCTGACGTCCCCGGTGAAATTTATGGAGCTGCAAGCTTCCAGTGCTTGTGGTTGGAAATCGGGCCAGACACACATATAACTTGCACACAGTCTTTCACGCGAAACCGAGGGCTCAGTGGTTCCCCCAAGTTGTGTCAGAGTGGGAAGCCGTCTTGCCAGAAGGGTCCGGGGATTTTCCATGGTTAATGAGAATAAATCTGCAATTCTGTGTGAATCGAAAGGATAGAAGTAATAGATGAGACAGTGATGGATGGAACAGCAGTGGATGAAAGAGAGGTAGAAGAAAGGAAGCTTGACAAAAGTCCAACTGACAAGGCCACTGGCCACTAGGCATTGTTCATCTGAACAAATAAAGTTATTTGCTACTATACCTATTTAGGAAGTATGGATTCGGCTTGAACAAAGACTGAACAAAGAGAGGTACCTATTTGCTATCATCCCAACTGTTGAACCTCTTACATTTCATCGCTCCGTATTCCGTATTCTTCTCTTCCACCACATACCTTCTCAACAGTGTACTTTTCATCGTTTCATATTCATCTCTTCAATACCATACCTGGCCGTCGTGGCAGTATCGGGTGTGATGCCTGCACGGGCAGAGCCCGAGTTTGAATGTGGCCTTGGCCCGTTACGGCTGCGGGTTGTGGAGGATCACTGCCAGGTCTACCTATGGGGGCTAATCCCCTTCTAGGTATAGTCTGAGGTGGGCTGAGTGCATCAGTGTTGCTCACTGATTGGACACTGAGTATCACTGAGTAATCAGAGAGCATCCAATGAGCACTCACTGAGCATCAGTCATCCTGCACGTGACTGATCTGAGCCCGTGCTGACATCTACTCAGTGAGCCTGAGCCTGAGCGCCCTTATAAAAGCGGCGGCAGCTCAAATAGGAATGCCCCACCCTCATAGTGAAAATCCGCTAGGTACAAATGGATTCTGCACATACAGCATTGAGCATATTTTCAGGATACGTTCATTCCCGATGAGAAAGTGCCAAGTAATGGATCCATTATAGCTTCGGATAAAAAAGCCAGAGACCACTAATATTTGCACCAAACACAAAAAGAATATCTTTCGGAAGCGAGGTCCACCCGGTGGAAGTGCAAGTCCGTGCCTGATCTCCGTTCCGAACAAGATCCGAAAGATAAGTTAAAACGTAAGTGGAGCTAGATGGAGCTCAGCAGTCTAGATCTCAAAAACGTTGAGAGACTTTGGTGAGATCGGAAAATTCCATTGAGAAAAGTCATTATCTGCCAAGACACGCTGTCTATATACTATAGAGACACTATATACCATTAATATCTAAACCAGGAACAGTGCATCGCTATTTTGCATCTGTCCTGAAATCCAGGTGTAAGCTTGAGCAATCTTAAGCCCGGCACATCCGGCCCGACCCAGACACAGACCAGGCATCACTACCAACAGCCTTGAGGGCATAGAAAAACGACGAAGGATCCCACTTGCGCTTCACAGCGAGCAGACGGGGGTAGTTGTTTCCGAAGAAGGTCTGTTTCCAGTTCGGCTGGCGGAAATTAGCTTCATTCTGGTAACAGCCGCTGTCCGGTGTGACAGCCTCGAGCTGAGGCACGTATTCAGTCGTCATCTTGTATTGGCCTTCGAGCATCTTGGACCATGGCGCGGTCTCATTCCACGGTGTGCCAATTTGCATCGTCACTGCTGCGTTGCGCAGGGCTGGGAATACTGCATTCGAGACGTTGACCGGGGCAGAGACGTCCATCCCGACTCCGACGGCGATCACGCCCGCTTGGGTTAAGTTGCGCAGTGCTGAGCCCATGCCGTTGGGGTTCTGCTCTAGGGTCTTGCGGGGAATCAGACGGCCGCCGTACTGGTAATTGGCCACAGCTAAGTTACCCCAAGGAAGAGGACCCATGTACTTGTTGTAGTGATCATAGTACGAGTCGTACTGGCTGAAACTGGCCTTGTACTTGATGTTGAGCTTGGTGAGCTTTGAGGTGAATGGCCCGAGGATGGCTTTGACATCATCGGTAGTCTGGTTATAGGCTGTAATAGGATTGATGATGAAGACACTCGAAGTCATCTGGTAGATGACAGTAACACCATGGTCGATCATGGCAGGCAACATGGAGTGGAACTGCGAAACGGCCTCGTAGAAGGTATCGGTGGTGATATTGGCCGCGGTGAACTGAAGAGCGGCACCGGCAATGGGCGCGTCTTTGTATGCCTTTACAACAATGGACATGACAACGCCGTAGTTGCCGGCGCCACCACCGCTTAGTGCCCAGAAAAGATCGGCATTCTCGGAGCGCGAGGCCTTGACCAGCTTGCCAGCAGCGGTGACAACCTCGAACTCCAGGGTGTTATCAGCTCCAAGACCGAACTTGGTGCTGAGGGCAGAGTGGCCGCCGCCTTGGGTGTAGCCACCGGCGAGACCGACCGTGGGGCATTCGCCAGTGACTACGACGAGGCCCTTAGCAGATGCGGCCTCGAGGATCTGATAACCAACCACACCGGCAGCAACCTTGAATGCAGGGCCCTGGTAGGTCGGACTCGACCAGTCCTTGTACTCGATATCGTTCAAATGGTGAGTCCATACAGAGAGGGCACCGGCACCGGTTGAGCGACCAAGATAACTACATCGATATCAGCATGGATGTATAGCAAGACCGTTAAGGCGACTTACTCATGGCCAGTGTTACGGATAACGAAGCGGATGTTGTTATTGCGGGCAAAATTCACAGCAGCAACGACCTGGTCGCTGGACGAGACGTTTACGGCGTATTTCACATAGTTGCCGAGGAGGCAGGGCTTGGACTTGGCGGTGAACGGATCGCAAGTCTGGTTGGCAAAGTACGTCTGCATCACCGACGAAGAGGAGTCAAGGCTGACGGCAATTAGCGATGTTGATTTCCCCTGATTAGCACCACTTACTGGGGCTCTGGCTTGTTCCAGTCAGCCTTGAGCGCCGAACAGGCGGCAGCGTCGTAGTTGGGTGCATGGCAGGGGGTTCCAATTGGTACGGTCGCAACCAGACGACCACCAACTGTATGATTAAGTGAGGTCCAAGCCGATGGAGCAGGCCAGCAGCTATCACCTGGCAAGCAGTGACAATCCGATGCAATAGCCGGTACGGCAAGAGCCACGAGGGAAGCCAATGTCCACTTCATGGTGGAGGAGATGGAAGGGATAAGGTTGTCGAAAAATGGAGGCACAGGTGTCGATCACCTTCTTTTATTTATACAAAGTATGGACTTGACATTCTTCGATAACATGAATGTTGACTTTGGCCCAAATTCGGAGATGTTCCCTAGTGCGTCTAGTCCGATTGTGGATATGAGGATCGGGGTTGACCGAAGCACCAAGTTCCCAGGTAGTTCCCAGGTGTTCATGTGATTTACGGCAGTTGTGATTACGGCAGTTCTACAGCCACAAATTCGGGTCAAATGGATATTTTTTTCCAGCATTCCAGGAACATGATTCTTTGCCATCAATGTCTCTTCGGGAGGCGGACAGGCTAGGAAAATCCGCGATCTAACCCAGTTTTCCAGTGCTACGCTGATGAAATCTATCCAACCAACGTTTACCTTTTGCACCACTAGGCTCCACCTTAGAGAGCCCTATTGCCTGAAATGCGGTCCGTGCGCCTTTGGATATTTTATGCTTTGGTGGCTTGAAGCTTCAAACATCTTCGAATTTCACAGTTCACATATATAGGTATTTCTAGGTGAAGTGATGACTGATCTGAGCAACCTTGGAATATAAATTTAAACGGTGTATTTAACATAATTATGGGCAGAAGAACCTCCTACAGTACTCATAATCTAATCCTATTCGCTGATGAAATCACTCTTGCCTCACAAATTGGAGCAGTTGGAGACGAAAAATGCACAAAATGCTTGACCCTTGGAACCTTACTAAATCGACTTAAATAGAAATGATCGTCGAAGAGGCAAGGTAAAGTTTGCTCCATCCAAGGTTATTTATCAGCCAATCCATAGCCCCAACCATAGATCAGTTCTTAGGGCTTTAAGACAACTCTCGCTATTGGCTATGAATCAGATTGACCAAAATTCCAGAAACCAAGTTGTCTATCTGGGGTTGATCACCGAGAGCATCCGTTGGTTCCTTCTTGTCTTCCCGTCCAGCTCTGGTCCGGCTATGGATTACTCCAACTAATCCATTTATATGACGGATCGCCTGTTTGACAATGCTGTCAATTTAGCTCGTTTATATACAATGTCACAAACTGATCTTGGCCCAGCCCTAGAGAAGGGGATTTGGGCCGCTGTGATCATTGCTGCGGTGATCGTTATTTTACGAGTCATTGCTAAAATAAAGATCAAACGGTTTGGCATCGATGATGGACTGATGATCTTCGCCGAGGTAGATCTTCTTGATTAGTTTTGTTGCTTTCATAGACTGACTCTAATTTTCCCCAGCTTTTGGCAATCGCATCAACAGTATTCTTGACCCTGTCGGTAAAGCACGGGTTCGGCAAGAATCTTAACACATTATCACCAAACGACAAGGAAGAGGTCTTGAAGAACATCGCAATCCAAGTGCCCATCGTCACCTTCAGCACAACCTTCGCCCGCTCCGCATTCATTCTCTACCTCCTTCCCCTCCTTGGAACCAACAAGTACTACCAGGCTGCGTTATGGACTGTTTTGGTGATCCAACTCGCGGGGAACATTGCATCGGCTGTGCTGCCACTTAGCATATGCCGTGATGTAGCCGCTCTATGGGACCCAGCAGTCGCAGTCGCGACGACCTGCGGCGACTCGGATGCAGTTATCAAATTCGCCTACTATTCCAATACATTCAACTCAGCCACAGATCTGTTTTTGGCGGTCTTCCCAACAGTCTTATTCTGGAACTTGAATCTGAAACTACGCATCAAGATCAGTTTGATTGTTCTTCTCAGTTTGGGTATTGTGTAAGTGCCTACCTCTACCCGAAATCGCATAGCCACAATATACTAACCCAATGCTATAGTGCAATGATCGCATCCATCATCAAAACAACCAAACTAAACGCCGTCCCCAGCATCACCAATACCGGAGCCAGTGGCGGCATCGAACTAGTTCGCTGGGGATACATCGAAAACGTCATCATCATCATCACCTCGTCGATCCCTTGCATCCGCCCCTTGATCATCTCCTCCGTGCGCAAGTTCTCCAGCGGCAAATATTCCCGCTCCTA